AACGAGAGCACTCACATACACACGCACAAACGCAGGATATACAGGACACCGAAACGCAGGCAATGATGTGTATCAAAGTGTGTACCTAAGTGTAATGCCTGATAATTGAAAACAAGCCGGCAAAAGCCCGTAGAAAGGCAAAGGAGCTGGGAGCTGGCAAAGTAGCAACTGCAAGGGGTTCTCCTATCTACATCTCGAGTATCAATGTATCCATCTCTATAGAGAGTAGAGCCATTGGGGCTCAAAGCAGCTCGATGCCTTTGCTAATGGAGGAGCTGTGTACATTAAAGTTGTCCTTCGCCTCGAGTTGATAGTTTCCCAAACGGGACGAAATTCCGAAGGTCTTCAGCTAAGTACACGGCATGAACAAATATTAACTGCGAACGGAGAGAAGACTCTATCTCCGCCCAAATATTTGATTTATTTAAGCAACGGCAACGGCTGATGGGTAATCCAAACTCACCTGCGGGCGAATTTGGGTCTCATACAAAATTTATCCATGAAATAGAATTTTTTGTGAAGGTCCATAATGTGATTTTGGCTTTTACACCGAAAAAGAAATACGTAAAATATATATTCAATGCAATAAATAAAAATTAATAATAATACGGTTGCTCTAAAAAAGTCTTCTTTTTTTTCTAATATAAATATTAATTTTCAGGTTTCCTCTTTGAAAGTTGTTTGATAAAAGTTAATCAAATGAATTGTATTCCATTAGAAAATTGTCACTCTAAAATTATGTGGAATAATTCAAATATATAAATATTTACTTAAAATTTTCTATTTTTCTTAAATTGCACAATTCACTTACATCTGCACGTCGTAATGGCATTTAATAATGCAAGCACATATCAATTTCCGGCCAACGGAAGTGACTGTTTAATTAAGCCTCTCTATCCGGGCCAACAAAAGTGAGTGTGTCGTATAAAAAACGGATAAATATTTTGCACTCTACCATAAAGTAAGCATTTTTAATTAAATTGATGTGGCCATTTATTGGTGATTTTCAGCCATTTGATGCACTCTCGTCGGCTGCTCTCGTCACGTTTTTCAACCAGCCGCAGAGCATATTTTGTCATTTCGGCTGACATTTATCACAGTATTCACAGCCGGCGCCGCATCCGCAGAATCCGCAGCAACATCCGCAGCAGAGGGGGAAAAAAAAGATTATTGACAAATATCAATTTGATGCACTGCCAGCGTTTTTCGTCTACCAGCAATATGATAAGCAGCATTTGCCTGACGCTGATTGATGGGCCGAAAGCATTGGTCCAAAAGTGATTTTTTGGCTCTCACACTTGGCCACGCCCACGTATTCGGCACCGCCCCCTTTCTCGTTGCCCCCCAAAAAATCACATTGATTGATGTGCAAACAGAATTATTCGACTGCATACTTTCAGGCGAAGCGCATTAAAGCAGTATTTCTGTTGCTTCAAGGAATTTTATATTTTAATTTTTAAGTGGTTTGTGTACTTACTTACAGATCGCCGATCTTTAAGATAGCATATAGCCTTTCTGGCCAAAAAAAAAACCCCAATGCTTCGTAAGAAATGAAGGTCCTGTTTGTAGTTTATTCCTCCACAAAAAACTTTGGCCGCTCGCCATTAAAATCATCTTACCTTTCCTGCTTTTTTGCCTTTTTGGGGGCGGGGTCGCATTAAAAATTCGAATATATTTCGGTTAAACGAGGCAGGTAACGTTGAGTAAGCAACTAAGCAGTTCTAATGCTTGTCTAGCGAATTTGGGATGCACTGAAAGTTACATAAAATAAAGAAACTAAGAAAAATAGGAGAAACAATTTATAAAAAAAAATATGATAAAATATAAACTTGCCTTTGCCTTTAATACACAAAAAAAATCTATAAATTTCTGTGTAATGTTTTAAAATTAATATACTTTATATCAAACCCAACTATGTAGCCAGTCCCTAACACATTTTAATTTAAAATCCCCCAGAGATTTATTGCGACAAGCTTATACACACAAACTCTGTTACAGAGCCTCTGTACAAGATGTATAATCTAGAGAAATGTCTATGATTTCATCTTGTGAACACCATCGCCACCCGGCAAAGAGTATTAAAAAACGAAACGAAATTTCAATTTACTTTCAAGTCGTCGAAAGAAAGAATGGAGCTTGGCTGCGGCTTTCGCATTACATTTAACTTTTCTCGCCTTATATTTTATTCAAATGGCTCCACATTATTATTTTCCTTTCTGTTTTCTGTTTTTTGTCCGCCGCTCCGCAGGATAACTTGAGCCGCTCGAGTGCCTGACATTTTCACATTTTGCTGCCGTTAAAAAGCGAAATTGCAGAGGAAAAACAACGGCCATTACCCGGCATTTTCCAATTTTTCGGCAAGTTGAATTTTCCCGGAGAGAGTGAGGGTCAGAAAGAAGTTCTCCGACGGCCATTAGGCGGATCTCGTGTGCAGCTTAATTTGAATAACATTTTCCCAGGTGCTAAGCCGACGTCTAATGAGAGTGTCCCCCCGATCCAATCAACCAAGTTCTAAGTGAATTTAAACTGAGACCGCAGAGGAGAGGCAAAGTTTAATTGAGTTACAGCGAGCGCACAAGGCATTACGCATACGACCCGTTGCATGACCAGGCGTAAAGGCAGAGGATGGCCAAAGTTTTCGGCCAAACGTCATTAGTTTTAATAATATTTAAACCACACAAACGAAAATGGATGTCCTTGGGTGTGGAAGTGAATGAAAGTCAGGCCATCACAACATTTGTTTGGGGCTCCTAATGAGGAATGACATTCACATTTGCTGCTCGAATGCATTTGGCTCTGAATCCGATTTGCCACGTGACCGACTCTTGTGTCAGCCAAAAATTATTATATCCTTCAAGGCTGCATGCCAATCATCAAATTGAGTTAATTAAATTATACCCTATTCATCAGTACGCAATTATTGAGAACGCAAGGCAATTTACATCGAAATTAAATGACGGAAGTTCGGAAATCACTGAATGGAAGCAAATTAATTTGGGGAAGTAATGGTTTATAATAAAATGTAATACTTTGTTTCAATAAATTGAGCATTAAATCTTCATTTTATTTTCTTGTCATAAAATAGTGATATTTTGATAAGAAACTTTAATTCACAGAAGCGAAGGTTATGGAATAAATTGTAATAAATTCTTTCTTTAAATTTAAACATAAATATTTTCTTTTTACTTATTATAAAAATTAGTTGTTGTTAAGAAATTAATGTTTCAAATAAGAACAGTTATAATAAAAAATATTATCCATTTTCAGTGTATCCCAACGGACAACTCAATCAAAATCAATTTAAATATTAATAATGCAATCTCATTAGCTGATTATTAATTTCGACCAGTCCAGAACTTCACAAATTCTTTGCCTTCGCCCTCAGGAAGTTTTCGATACTTTGTCGTAACTTTTTGTGGCGCAATAATTTCTTCAAATCTTCTGCCCAATCAGCGAAAATAATTTACATAATTAGTGAGAAAGCGGCCGGCGCCTGGCACCAAAGAAAAAATCTGAAAATAAATACTATACATAAATTATGCGAATAAATAAACAAGGGTTTTGCTAAATGTGTTAATTTGCAACTTTCGAAATTAATGCATACACTGAATTTCTGTTTGCCCTCGGCCATTTTATTTTCCCGGCCATTTTTGGCACTGCTTTTTTTTCGGACTTCTTCTTCTCTAATGCTCATTTTGCTTTTATTTTTTCCCTTCCTGTTTGCGCTTCAATTAACAACAACTTGTTACAGGCGCAAATTGAACTTAAGCTTCCAAATTTAAATAAATAAACTAAATGCGGTGCTAAATAAAAAATTCAAAGGAAGAGAAGCAAATAAAAAAAACGCGTTCGAAGCTGAGTGTGATTTTCATTTTGTTTCAAATTGTTTTGCTCGGCGAAAAACCAAGTGAATTACCCGTTTCGTGGAGGGGTGTTAATTTCATTGGAATTTATTTTGGTTTTACAACGGTTACAGGTGTAGACACTAAAAACCAAATGTGAGCTGCAGAGTGTGGGAAACTGTCGTAGGCCACGCCCAAAAAACCAAGTGAATTTCTGCCATCCCCACAGGGCATTTGAAATTGGCCATTTTTGTGTTGCTTGGTTTTCCAGGAAAATCTGGTATATTGGTATTAATTCCATTTGCTGGCCAAACTGTAAATTGATACAAATTTGATTTGCTTACCTTTTGCACGCTCCTTTTTTCCTCCTTTGAACTAAAATTCTCTGTAATTTGTCTAGTTATATTACACTTTTTTTAAATATTTATTGCCAAACGATTTTATATAAATTTATAATTTTGCTTCTTTTAACATTTAAGTTTATATTTCGTTACTCTTTAATTATTTTATATTATTACAACTAACTTTCATAATATTGCTCATACATTTGCGTATACTTTCATTGCCAATTTTACAAAATACATTCTTAGAAATACAAATTACAACTACTAGTTTATATTGCTTCCAATTAGCTATGAACTCGGTACTTCTGACTTCTCACACACATTTTTGGACATTTCCATTTAGATTGTATGGCCATTGCTTATTCTTCGATTGCCACTGGAATTGCATATTGATGGGGAGCAGGAATAATGCAGCCATAAACGAAAATCGCAGCGATTAGCTTAAATTGCAGGGAATCTGCAAAAAGACCCTCGAGCCAAAAAACACACACATGCAAACTGAGCCACGCACACACACAGACATTGCACAGACAATAAACCAATAAACGAAAGCCATCTAAGTGACCCATAAAGGAAGGGGCGGAAACGGAAGTAAAGGGGGAAGGTGCACTGGGAAAAACAGAGGTAAATATATTTTATAATAAATTAAAAAGAAAATATATTAAATTCATATTAAAATTGAACAATCCAATCTAAAAGTCAAGCAAATTTTCAGAACAACTTAACTCATTTTGCAACTTATAAAAAAATTCAATAGCTTTTTTAATTCTCAAGTTTAGTTTCTGTACTTATTTTTTTTTTCATAAAATTAAACCCCTTATTTAATTTCGAATTTAGTTGAAAATTTTTAGGAATGTCATGAAATTTTCAATGAATTTTTTTAACCCTTTTTTTCTCAGTGCCGGACAACAAATGTGCAAATGAAGTAGCTTAGGGATTGACATAAGTGTAAGTGCCCCACAGATGATGCTGCGATGGATTCTGGTGCTGCTGCTGCTGTTCCTGCTGTTGGGATTGCAGCTCCTGCTGCTGCTGTGGAGCAGGGTCACCCAGGGTGGGGGTCAGTCCTCCACTGGCATATGGTTGCTGGGGGCCAAAGTTCGGGGTCTGCTGGCTGGAGGCTGCGACTGAGACCGAGGCTACGGGGGAGTAGCCCAAGTGGTCGTAGTACTCCACCACCGGTTGCTGTGAGCTGGCACTGGAGCAGGCCGATGAAAGCGAGGCGGAGGAGTTCAATGGCGGCGAGTGGTGCAGTGGGAGGGGGTGGTGCAGTGGGTGGTGGTGTGGGTGCAACGGATGATGATGGTGGTGCTGCGTCATGGGCAGCATTTGATCCATGAGATACTGGTCAATTTCCTTGGGATCGATGTCGGTGGTGGTGGCAGCTGCCTCTCCCGTTGGCTTGTAATTTAAGGCTCCACCGGGCTGTGACGCCTGCGTTTGCTCCTCAAAGTGCCCCTGTCCTCCGTTTGTGGGGTAGGAGTAGCCAGGGTAGCTCACCCTGCTCGCATTATAGCCACCATATCCATTTATGCCCTCCAGAAAGTCCATTTCCTGAGCTGACTGCCCCTGCCCCTGGTAATTGACCTCACCTAGGGCCACATATTCCCTGCCCGCCTCGAGTAGCACTCCATAATCAGCAGCATTTGCAACCGGCTCACTTAGTTGCCTCAGCAAAAGACTCGAGTTATTTCCTGCAGCGGGTGCAACTGCTGCTGCAGAGGATTTTGCTCCTCCCGAGGAGGAGGCTCCACTGTAGGGCGTCGACGGGGGCGTCAGCGAGGACATGGAACTGGCCGTGGAGCAGGGCGAATCCAGTCCAGCCTCGATGAGACCCTGCTCCATCAAACTGGCCGCACAGGCACTGTTCAGGGATTTCATGAAGGCCTCATTACTGAACACATCCGCGGAGGAAGAGGAGCCGGAGGAGTTCATATTCGTATTCGAGATGGTCAAGGGGCAGTTGGTAAGGCCAGCTGCATTTGATTTTCCGCCCCCACGTCTCTGGCCATTTGAGTTGCTGCTCCTTGGCTTCCCGGAGTTTCCCTGTTGGGCGGACAAAGTCATTTCTGGTCCAGGGGATCCCCCTTCGCCGCCCATCTGCTGGTTGGGCATTATACGCGCCTTTTTACGCCGCGGCTGGTACTTGTAGTCCGGGTGCTCCTGCTTGTGCGTCATCCGAAGCTTCTCGGCAAACTCCATAAAGGGCTTCTTATCACTATCCTTTAGATTTCTGCAAGTGGGAGAAAGGAAATAGTATCAATGTTGCACAAAAGAAAAATTAAACTAGTTTGTAGGACTACTAAAAATATAATATCCTTAAAAATGTGTTTAAGGTTGGAAAATATAATAAAACCTAACCTTAAAATCTTACCTACCCTTAAAATATAAAAAAATAAAATATTATTAATATTTAATCAAAAAAATCATTTCGCAATGGCTTATAAAATCAATCACTTTAAAAATAATCCAGCAAAATAAACACAAAACGGAAATGTGTCTATAAAAAAATATATATATTTCCTATCGTGTGATTTACTGATTTCTACCCCTCTTAAAAGCAAAAAATCTGTCGGCAGATAGTCTTCTTCATGATTAATGCAAAACTGTCAGGCCAAAAGGCGATCTTCGCCACAGCGGCGTCGTTTTCATATATTGTTTGTAATAAAATATTGTCCAGTTCGAAATTAAAATTTCACAGTTCAGTGAGTCGGACGACTGGCGATAAGAAGTGGAGTCTTTCGGGTGATAAGAAGTCGAAGCATCCGCCTTACGACTAATTGGGAATGCGGGCTGGACCAATTTGTTAGCCCATAAATAAACCCTGTTTAATTGACTGTCACTTCGCAGTATTTGTTTCTCTTTTGCGATTCTCAGATCTCGAAAAAAATTCATTGAAAAAATATACATATTACATAGAAAGTAATTATAAAATGTTTATTATATTTAATATTTTTAATTTTACTGACAATAAATCATCAAATCTTTATGAAAAATTGTTAACAGTTGAACTACATTTATTTTGAATTTTTTTTAACTTAATAAGCTAATAAACCTCCAGTTTCCTGTGAAAAAAGACCAAGAGGTAAACCTAATTTATTTATCCTAGCTTCCTAGATATTTATCTGACTTTATTTGCTGAGCCTGAGCTACAACTGGGTTTTTCTTGGAGTAGCTGATATTACTTCTCTGGCACACTGAGAACTGTCTGCTGATGCAATTCCCTGTCTCGTCGAAAAGCCCTTAACCAAACTTGGGAGGTATCCCCCTCCTCTCTCTGCCTCTTTTGTCTGGCCAAGAAGTGGAGCTTATAAAAGACACTTTTCAAGTGGTCCATGCCCCAACGTTTACGCAGCCAGAGACGTGTCTCTGTTTTTTTTCTCTCCTATCCTCTATTTTTTCTTCATTCTGAGTAGGGAATATATAGTATACTTGTACTCACTTCCACAGCTTGCCCAGCGATTTGCTTAGCTCCGAGTTCTGCAGATGCGGATACTGTTTGGACATCACCCGTCGAGCTGCCTGGGCCCAAACCATAAAGGCGTTCATAGGTCGCTTGATGTGCTCCTTTTTGCGGTCCGTGGGTGCCCTGAAAAAATACAAAATCCAAAGAAAATTAGTACAAAAATCAGTCAAAAGCTGCAGTGACTTGTTGGCCGGGTAAATAAGTTTTCATTAATTGCAAAAAGACGTTGCAGACCGAAAAAGCGGCACAAAAACAACAACGCATAATGTCAAACTGAAATTTGCAATTAAAACTTTTATTTGCCGTGGCAAATAGAAGAGAAGAAATGCCATCAAGGCCGGAGAACGAAAACCGGAGACCAGAAAAGTTCATAAAGTGCAGTCAAAAATGTATTTTTCAAGAATCATGAGCATCGGGGTCCAAAAGTGAAGTGCAAACAAAAGCAATCAGCAAAATCGTGCAAAATTCCAGAGAAGTGGGCTTTTCGTCGTTCGGTGGGTGGTAAAAAATCTATTTCAGCTATGCGAAATAGCATTGGGAATCCTTTAAGTGGTTGCCACAACTCTTGACTTTGCATAAAGTATGCAACCAGTTGTCTTTTATCCCAGTCCATCCATTTGTCTTTTCCCGGGACTTAGAAAAATAATTCCATTGACAGAACGATACAAGCTCATACAAATAAAACCGACGTGGCGTATGATAACCTCTATTCTATGTGCATTGTGGTATACGCATAGGCGAAATAGAATATGTATGCACTAAAAAAAATATGTATATCTTAAATTTGTGAAAAAAATAATAATCCAGTAGGTAATTGTTTTATTATTTTGTAAAATTTTCACCAATTTTAATTTTTTTATCTGAACTTCTTGGCTTTTAACTTTCTAAAAATAAAATATCTCATTTAGCGTGCTAAACGTTATATAAAATGTTATTTGTATGTTCCCTTTTTAATCTTCTTTTACATTCATTTTATATTTATAACCAGTAGCAAGATCCAAAATTCAAGGTCTTTAAAATTTTTGGATTTCTTTGCTTTTTAATCAAAGTTCATATCCATAAACTAAAATAAAACAAAATTTTATATATTTTTACCAGTGCTAAAACATGTCAAACGTCTTTCTCTTTCTCTAACTCACACATCCCATCACCCACATTGTTTTTATCTATACATTCATTTTTATTTAGCATGTCGAGCACCGAGAAATACAATGAAGACAGAGATTCAATCAAAGAGATAGGCGTTCCAAGGGGGCGGAACACTATGGCTCGAGATGCCCGAGATTTCCCTTTGGTTTGCCCACCTTTTCTGGGAGCCTCCTATATTGAATTATTTATCCTAAGTAAACATGATCAGGGCAAGAGATTTGTTAGGTAAATCTTTCAATCGAGTTTGGGTGTGCGTGTGCTAATGCCTGTGTGGGTGAGTCTATTCGATATGCCTGACTGCATTCTATGCCTGGCCGGAAAACTGGGAAGAACTGTTTTCAATCAGAGCAAATCAATAAGCAGGTGTTCTCAGGTGTTTTCTTCTAACTCCCTGCACTCAAATTGAAACTAATTCTAGAGGAAAAAACCTAAGAAATATAAAAATAAAGTAGTCAACATAAGCATTCATATATAAAAATATCTATATTTCATCCATGGTTTATTAAACTTTATTTTAAATATATTTCCGTTAAAGAAATATATAGATAGGGTCAAGGAAATTTTAAAATTCATTTTTAGATTTCAAATAAATAGAAAGGGTAAAATCATGAACTTTATATTATTGGACAATTGAGTAAAAGGATTTAATTTCCCTAGGTTGTGTGAAAATAAATCAATATTTAACGTTTCCTTTTTAAAATTTTGTTCTTAGCCGCTTTTCGCCTGGGCTTAATTACAAGTTCGGCCGAGCTTATTAAGCGATTAAAAACGCGACCGGAGGCCAAATGGACATCGTCTTGGGGTTTGTTATCTGCCTTTTGGTATCGTCGGCGTCGTGACCCCGCCCCCTACCATCCGCCCCTAGCCCCCCAGCATCCTATATAGCTATATAGCCTTCCTCCCCCGCCGATTCAAAAGTATCTGCGAGTCTATATGTATGCAACTCTCACGCTTGACAGCACGCTAATCAGAATCAAGTGATGTTCGTTTTGCTGCACTCAGTTCTTGGGACTTGGGAGGTGCTGTATTCCCAGGCCTGCACTGAAAGAAATCATAGTAGTTTTTCAGGAATTTTTAAATTGTTCTTTAGATGTTTGGAAAGGTATTAAAATCAAAGGAACATGGGAAATAAATTTGTAAATAAAATATAATTTTGTAAACTTTTTCTAGAAAAGATATATTTATAAAATAATAGGAACCCTTGAAGTTTAAGTTTATCAATTAGACAATCAATAAGATCATGGTAGTACTTAAAGACTTCTAGATTTATTTAAAAATAAAATGATTAAATAATTAAAAAGAAAGGAGTATGAGAAATAAATATTTTATTTGAATATTACTTTGTAAAATATAAATAAAAATATTTATAGTTAAAAGTTCTTAATAAAATTATAGAAATTTTTTAAATAATTGATCATTAATTTAGGTGGTTTTCGTTTATTTATAAAATTTCCTCCTGTGCATTTTAGAACCCCCAGAGATATATACGTACAGCAGATCCCCGGGGCACTTGGCAACTCAAGCACGTCTTCATTATTTGCTGCTGTTGTTGCATTCGGAGATGCGCAAATCTCATTAAGTGATATCTTCAAGTGGCCGTTAGCTCATGAGCAAATATGAGAAATGAGCGGAGACTGCAAGGAATTTTGAATTTGCAGCTTTCCATTTTTCGCATATGCCAAAGATACAAAGATGCAAAGATACTTTGGCTTTTGTTGCGCATCTTTTATCAGCAATGGGCCATTTGCCGCTTTTGTTATTAAATTTTACGTCGGTTGAGTGGGGGAGGTAGGGGAGCCCAAATATTTACAGCTTTAACACGAAGCTGTAAACATGGCACGAAAATTCCCATTTCCATTTCCATGCCCATTTTCATTTCCAATTTGTAAGCGCATGTCAAAAAGTGGGGACAAATGCGCCTAATTAGCGGCGGAGACGTCTCAGCGATTTTCACAAGTTCACAAATATGAAATGTATCTAACAGATACAGCGCGTGTAAACAAATTGCAGGCGTCGTTGTTTCGGTTTCTGTTTTGTATTTTGTATTTTTCGTTTTCATTTTCCTATTTGCTTAGGCAGTGCCCACATTTTCCCACGCAGCCGCCACCGCCGCCGCTCTTTTTACGGCACTTTTGTCAAACAAATTTAAAATGCATCCAACGGATGCAGTTGCTGTTTGCCTTGCGGTCGCTTGGCCTTTCTTCTTTTATGTTTTTTTAGTTTTTCGTTTTGAAAACCTTGAAGTTCGTCCGAAAAGGTGGTCAAACACCAAGGAGCACTGATAAGGTGATAAGGCGGTGGAACTGCCCCTTTTTCCTACCACAATCTTGGGGATTTGGCTACCGTGAGACTTGCATCTGAGTTTGCTCAGCCTTTGTGGCTTTTATTTGCCAGCTGCACTGGGAAAATGGTAACAGGTGCAGGGAAATCATTTAAATAAATATTGGAATTTCTTAATAATTGGTTTTCACCCCTTACAATTTTTAAACAAATAGATTAACAAATAAAAGTGAGATTTGTAAACTAATGATTTGATTTTTTGTGATTGATTTTATAAATTAAATGGTTTTAATTAATTATTCCTGTGAGAGTAAACTGCTTTATATTTAATCTACTAATAAATACTTTTAGAACCTAATAAGCTTTCTGTGTAACTTTAATGTACTGTAAAACCATAACTCAAATTGAATTTTAGTTTTCCACCTAATGACCCTTATTATTATTTTGTAATAATCATAATTCGATCACAAAGGTTAATCGCTTGGAAAGCAGACACCGAAAAATGTAAATAATTATTATTTCATTGTTCCGTTTGCAGTCAACAGTTTGAAATGTCTAGCAAAGGGTGTTTAATTTTTCAGCTAATTGTTTTTCTATATTTAGTCGCTGAGGTAAGTGTGATTATTTTTATGAATTTAATAAATATGAAAAATATATTTTCCAGATAACTTCTAGATTTGAGTTTACCAACGTCAAGTGCACCAGTTTGGATAAGGAGTTTGGCGATTTTGAACATTGTTTTCTGAAGTCGGTAAATCGAAGCTATAAATATCTGTCGGTCAAGTTTAATCTACGCAAGACTCCGGTGACTAAAGTTAAAGTAAGCAGCCATTGCTTAGAATTCTTATTAATACGATACTCATCCTTTTAAAAATTTAACAGGTAAATTTAGCTATGTTCAAACGATACAATGGCTATCGACCTTTTATGTACAATATTACTGTGGATGCCTGTAGATTCCTTAGAAACCGAAAATCAAGTCCAGTCATCAACTTTTGGTTTAACATTGTCGAAAACTACTCGAATTTAAATCATTTGTGTCCTTTTAATGTGCGTAATTAATTTTGTTTCACATATTTTTTTAATAAGTATTTAATTTTAGCATGATATATCATTAGAAAAGCTTCCAGTCGCAACTGTGAACTTCCAAGTTACAGATGTGCTGCCTTTTCCCGAGGGAGATTATCTAATCGAAACCCATTGGATGCCGTACGATATTAAGAAAGCAGTGCTAAAATTATATGGCACTCTCTCCTAATTTAATTTATATTCTGTTCCACTTTTTGTTTTTGATTCTAATTACTATTGTTTAAAAATAAATATCATCTTCAATTTTGTTATTTTCTTTTCCAAAAATAAGGTAAATATGATGAGTAGACATCGGATTTTAGGTGAAATAGTTTTTTTTAAATACGATTTAAAGCCACATTTGATTGGTTACAAATTTTATTTATTAAGATATAATTAGATTTCGGCCAAAATTAATTAAGGTTTTTTTTTAAAAATTGTATCCAATCAAATGTGGCTTTAAATCGTATCTAAAAAAAACGATTTCACCTAAAATCCGATGTCTAATGATGAGATATAAGCTCAAATCGATGTGGAACAAATATATTTAAAAATCCCTTAAACTTTCCAAGTTTTTCTCAGGTAAATATGATGAGATATGTGCTGAAATCAAGATGATAAAAAAATATTTAAAAATTCCTCAAACTTTCCAATTTTTTTCTCAGTGCTTTCGGCCAACTTTCTGTGTGGTTCTGGTAACAAGATAAACATCTCCTTATTGGCCACTCGTCTTAGGTCAGGGATCAATGGGAATGGCCGGACTTATTGGAAACTTACGAGTATCGGAGTGCGAGTGCCACATCCACATCCACACAATCCTCACACAAGGCGACCTCTTGAGCGGCGGCCTTTTGAGCTTTCCCTTTCGATTTAAGCCGCCTCTCGGCCACTTCATCTTGATCCCATTCTCTGTTATCATTTCATTTGGCCACGTCCTCATCCATTTCCACTTCGACTATCCACTACCACTGTCATTTTCATTTTCTTGTTTTTTACAATTTCCAAGTCAATTTATTTTTACAGCGCACTGTGCCGCACTCGAGAGAAGTGACAGAGAGTTTCGGAGGGAGAATGGGGATTCCCCTACTCTTGTTGACCGACTAGGAGCAACTGGATAGGCGTGAAAGGAGCCAGGAAAAGGGGGCGTGGTAGCTGGAAAACGCAATGAAGAGCGACAGTTTAAGTGGCGTAGAGGAAGAGCCCTGCATCATTCTGGTTTTTGTGGGTGGTTATCTTTTTTTGGGTGTTTTTTTGGGTGGTTAAGTGGGTGGTTGCAGCTACAATCAATGCTGTCAGCTGGATATGTGTCCCTGACATTTGATGATTGTCGTGTTGTGGCCCTGAAAATCAAGCTCTCGGGAAAAAAACACTTCATATACCTACCAAAATTCGAAGGTTATTAGCTAATCCAATAGAAAACAAGAAAGGAAGCTAGCTTCGGCAAGCCGAAGCTTATATACCCTTGCAGATCATTCTATTAATTTACAAATCGCAAAAATGTTAAATTTCTTATTATTTCACATTAATTTTTCGATCGTTTCTATCACAGCTATATGATATAGTAGATCGACTTTTTAAAAATTAAAATCGAAATTCGGAAATATTTCAAAATAGTCATATCCCAGAGTAGAAGGAACTGTAATAAAAACCAACAAAGATATAATTTTTTTCCCATTAATTTCCATTTAATTTTTCGACCGTTCCTATGGCAGCTATATGATATAGTGATCCGATTTAAAAAACAAAAAAACCGAAATTCAGAAATATATAAAAAAAAAATGTTCCCAAGAGTAGAAGGTAAAATTTTAAAAAACACCGGAGCTAGAATTTTTTTACGTTTTTTTTTTTGATCCTTCCTATGGGAGCTATAAGATATAGTTGTCCGATCCGTTTGGTTCTGACATATATACTACCTGCAATAGAAATACGACTTTTACGAAAGTTTCATCCCGATAGCTTTAAAACTGAGAGACTAGTTTGCGTAGAAACGGACGGACAGACGGACGGACAGACGGACAGACGGACATGGCTAGATCGACTCGTCTAGTGATGCTGATCAAGAATATATATACTTTATGGGGTCGGAAACGTCTCCTTCACTGCGTTGCAAACTTCTGACTGAAATCATAATACCCTCTGCAAGGGTATAAAAAGGCTCAAAGAAAAAAAATAGACTCAAAAAGCATTGTCAAAACTGTGTATTAAAATTAATTTAAATATAATCTTTAATCCCAAATGTAGTACCTTTTCTTAAAGTACGATTTTAGTGCCAGATTAAAACGGGGTTTAATTACAAAATTGTATATTTGCAAATTCTGGTGTTAGTAAATAGTTTATTAGTGCAAAGCTTTAAAATTATAATTTATTTTAAAACTGGTTTTAGAACCACCTACATGACTCATTTCTAATCAAAGCCCGCCGCCAAAGAGTTGTTAAATATTTAGAATCCAGCCCCTCGAATTCGTTCGAATTTGAATGATTCACCGAAATGCAAAGCAAGTCAACGCAAAATATTATTTATTACTTCCCGCCCAACAGCAATGTTTGCTAGCTGCTTTCTAGTGTAACGCGCATTTTGCGGAATCTCGGGAAAAATGAAAAGTTCGCTATGAATTTCCACACCTATTTTGCCGCTGGCGATTTTCCCCGTCCGTCCATCGAATATTTCTGCAGGGGATTTCCGGTAGACTTTGGCATCCGAGAAATAATCGCCCGGGTGTTCGTGTTCGTGTTCCCTCCGTGGAAACTGCGGCCGCAGGATTCGGGGATTCCCCCCGGGAGAATAACGAAAGGATACAGGATGGGCAATCGGAGCGACGCTGAGCCATTGAACCCTTTTTTGAAAGGCATATCGAGCGGATTTGCGCCGAAATGTGCGAGTACTTCGGCTAAAAGCTTATGGCCGGATCAAAAGTGCCTCCAATTTTATGCGCAAATGTTGTTTAATATTTGGCAAAATACCCAGAGCTCAGCAAAAAGCAAACGGGTTATTTAAATGTTAGGATACCCTCAGAAATTCTAGCTAGACACAACAAATTCTTAATCATTTAAATGTTATAAATTGATTTAATCTGAATAAAATTGTAAAATTACAATTTAAATCTCCTTATTTTGGCTATATATTTTTATTGTATTTTTAGAATTTCAAAAAATTTATAGAAATTAATGGGTAATACTTAACTATATAATTTAGGTCGTTATTCCTAATATTTCGGTTTTTTTTTTGGCAGCCTTCCTATTTTCTAAAAATCTTTAAACATATGTACCCTTATTATTTCAAAAGACCCTCTAGAAATATCAAAAACTGGAGCTCGTCAAATCAATGTTCCACTTCATTTCCGTCCCAAAACCTCCCTCCTTTTAAGACAGATTTTGTGGCCCTAATCGCGGAATCCTTTGAGCCTCGCTGGCTTTGGCTCACATCGTTTGTTCCGCCGACTTGGCTTACTTGCACTTTAGTTGGTTGGCAACTTTTTCGGCCATTGTCGCGCTCACCTGGTCATAAAACTTCCCCCATCGATGGAGGGACGACTACAAAATGACGACAACACCTCGGGGAGATGAGCTCCCAATGTTTTGTAAATTCCTGTTACTGCAACAGAAAAAATATGCAAAACGAGAGTCTAGGCTGGAAACTTTTTGGCCAGCATTTGTGGTTATGGGGCAGCAACAAAAGAAACGGGAAAACCAAAAACAGCAGCATCAGCAGCAACAAAATCAATATTTGCCTTGTAAGCCGCACGTGTATCTGTTCTTCTTGTTGTTGCCGCTGCACAAACTTTTACCGGCCACCAAAAGCTGAGGTTGCTGCTCTTCGGGGCGTACTTTTTGGGGGAAAAAGGGGGCGTGGCACTGCCCACATATGAGGGGGGGTTTTACCAACATGAGGTGGAGCAACAGCTAGGAGAACATGCTTGTCGGCCCTCTCGGCAACACCAACAGCCGAAAAGTCAGCTAACCGTGGAACTAAAAGTGTAGATTTTGTTAAGAGTTAAACTAATTAAAGAAAATATTTAATAGGTAAACAATTTGGATAATTAAAATAATAACTATATTAAGTCTATTAATTTTGCTAACTTTATTTTAATTTTATTTTTAATTTGAAAAAACCCAGAAGACCTCAACAAAATTATTTTTTTAATATTTATAATCTATAAATTAGGAAATTTTAAATAAACATTTTTGAAATCAATATCTCAAAAGATCTCATAATTAGCTATTAGATATTTTAAATAAATATTTAGATTTTTTATTATATTACAATTTTAATCAACAATGTTTTAGAATCAAAATAGTTAAAAAAAATTTGTTTACTACTTTTGTAACACTTTCTTTATCTCTAATTTAGCCTTAGAAATTCTCAAAGCTCTTTCCGTCCTTTAAAACTATAGGTTTATAGCCCACTGTTACCCCGTTTGATGGGTGGATGTGGTTGGGGCCTCTAGAAGAGCCAGCCCCCATGGGGAAGTTGGAAGTGGAAGAGTGTTTGGTTAGGCTGCCCGAGATGACTTGTTGGGGGCCATGTAAATTGACTCGTCGCAGCGCCGAAAGAAGAACTATCGGATGGACTAAGGGGTGTGGAATGGGGAGGGGAACCGAGGAGGAGGAGGAGCTCTGCCCACCTGGTTGTGGGGTACTATGGTACTATGCATGATACATATATGATAACACCTCGGGCCGGACACGCAGATAAGCAATGAAATATTTATAGCGTCGCCAAAGTCCTACCCGAAGTTGCGGTTCCTCCGAGGGCCGACTGCCCTCTATTTATTTTCTCCTCCTTATAAAAGGGGCCCCCATATCTAATCGAGCCAGGTAAATAGAGCAGGGGTTCCACCGCACATGGTGTCTGTGTTATTTAATAACAAGCCCAAACCAAAACCATCCCGAACCCTATATCTTACAAACATCGTGCGACGCCGATCGTCAGACAATTCAAGTGGCTTCCCAGCACATTGTTGTTGGTCTTAAGTAACAAATTCTCAAGTGATTCACGCGAAACACATTTAACCAAATCAAACAGCAATATAATGTTTGCGGTCTCCCCTTTAAAAAATATGGGGAACATAAAAAATTAGCAAAGTAAGACACGAATTTTTAGATTTTTTCCATACTTGCTATGCGTTTTTTGGACTTCAATTTAAATGTATGATTAATCTTAAGAAATAGTTATTATAAATAGTAGCCATTATTTTGAAAATAATTATTATATAAAATTGAGTTTACCCCCTAAAAAAGCTTTTAAAATTAGCTATAAATATTTTTAAAGCTCAAAATGTTATTATAATATTTTACAACACCTAACGAATTTTTCCATGAACTTCAACCTCCAATCGCAACCCAATAAAAAATCGTAAAAGGAAAGCAATTTAGCATCAATTTCTGCTGTCAATCACCGCAAACACTGAAGCAATTAAATGTATCTCCCACCATTCGCTTACAGCATTTTTTCACCATTTAAAATGTTTAATTTGGAAGGTGACAGGGGTACCTGGTAATCGGTGAAGTGAGCGAGGACTTCGGGGGTAAGCGATGTGCATTTAAGCGATTTTAAGTGGAAATAAACAAGGCTCATAAAGCGCAAGGTAAACAATTTCCCCGCAGTTGTGAAGGGGGGTGGATAGTGAGACGAGGGGTGGGGCGGAAAAGGGGTTGGTGGGGTAGCGAACCCCACAGTGGATAGATAAAGGAAAGGAAATGACGCTCATATCCTTGTGCAAACACACACGTGCTCTTGACAGCGCTTTCTGCGCATTTCGCAATGAGGGGGCAACTGTGCCCAAGGATGTTTGTCCCTGGACAGCTGAGAATCAGACACTGGGGGAAAAGGGATCGTAAATCAATAAGATGGATGAGGTTTCTTTAAGATTCTATCTAATAAAGAAACCCACCTATCTATCCTTAATATTCTTCCCAATAAAATTATATTCTAAAATATTTATTCGTTTTGATATGCACTTATTATTTTTTACTTTTTATACCTATTCAATAAAAAATTATTAAAATAAAAGAATTAGACATTTGTTAAGTTTTATATACTTGTTTGCATGTATCTTTTGCATTATTTGTTAAATTCCTATTAAATACCAAAAACATATTTTTATGAAAACCAACGCATAGAAATGTTATTGTTTTTTTAGGTCATAACTTTCTTATATGATAATGAATTTAAAATAGACGTTCAGGAACAGAGCTATATTTACAAGTAATTTAAACATATTTTTCATAAAAGCTGATATTTTCTGATATTTTTTAAACTTTTGTTAAATATTAAAAAATGTTTTTTAAGTGTAATCCCAGTGATAAGCGTCGACAAAATAGAGAACAAAGCGACTGGAGGCGGCTGACAAACTCAGATAAGACTGGTAGCTGGGACCCCTGCTGAAAGACCGGAGGTGGAAGCCCCGGCATTTGCTAATTGCCGGTCAAACAGAGAGATAGAGCTGAGCCAAGGATCTGGGGAATATGGAATCTGGAAACTGAGGGATCAGAAAGATCAGCCGCCACTCGTCTTTCTCACGACCCAAAGTACTACGAGTATATTCAAAAATACGAAGCCCCCGTACGACATCTTGTCAAGTGTCAACTCCCCGGTTCGCTTGAGTTAAGATCTGCTCTCCCCCCCTTTTAAAGACCCCATTCCCCCACCTTGTTAGCAGTTAGCATCTTTACGCTAAAAACATATTTATTCGCTTTTTATGCCTGAATTGATTTGTCGTCGTCGTCTTCATCTCGAACATTTTTGTGTTCCACTCTGCAACACACATTTATTGAGGCCTGTATTTTGTATCTTTGTATCTGGTGAAGGTGGCTTGTTATTGCCTTTTCCTATTATTCCTGCCATTGGCCAATTCGGTTGTTGTTGTTGTTGCCGCGGTTTGTTTGTCTAATATGTGTGAATGTGTAAATTCATTTATATTTACATATGCCGGCAGATTCCCAATCGTTTTCCCTTCTTTCTCCAATATTGCTATTTCTCCTATATTTTTTTCTCCCTTTGCGGTTCGCCAAGTTTGTTTATCCAGTTAAATAAAAGAAAACCCACATATATGCATATATGCCTGGAAATTGTGTTAATCAGCGAACTCATCGAAGGTTGGTTAGTCACTCGAGGGTTATTGGTGGCTCGGGGCTCCACTGAGGACTCAATTTGTCCATTGGGAGATGGGAAGTAATTTTTTGATTATCTTGCAATTGAATGAATTGCTATATAGGTATAGTATTCAAAACCATTTTTATATGTTTACTGATATTTTATTAAAAAAAATTTATTATATTTATTTTAATATTTTTTAATATTTAAAAATAGTTGTTGCAACATTACAATTTTCAGCTCTGCAGACCCTAAATCATTTTTATCGTAAGTATTTAATCAACACATCTGTCTAAACATAAGTTCTTATCAACGCTTTAATAATTTCGATAAAGTGGGAAAATATTGAAGTAGCTGATTAAGAACATGATATATACGAGTCAGTGTAAGTCCCCATATTTTTAACAAACATTTTTAAATTCTTAAAAGGACTCACTTGGCTGAGGCCTGAACTAGATTCCAGTCGTAGCCCTCGAGGACCTTCATCACCGCCGTGGTGATGCGTTCGTCCTCCTTTCGGCCACCTTGTCCTTGGGCCTTTTTCTGCTCGGCTTTCAAGGCATAGTTGGCCAGAACCAGGGTTTCCACCGGTTTGGCGCGATCCTTGGAGCAATTGGAACTGGAACTTTCACTCATTTTGTATTTTTAAGGCACTAAAATAAGTTCTTTAATTGAATTATATGTCATAAATGTCTCCGTATCACTAAATCTCGTTTTGATCCTCAAGTTTCACCCACGCAGATCTCGGGATTTTTCAATGGAGCCTACGATACGCGGCTAAACTCTAGACGCGACGAAGTTGACGAGCAAACTGCGACTGATCTTGGGGATCGCTGGGCTGATGTTTCCCCAAGACGAGCTCGGCAATCGTCGGATTTTCAGACGATCGTGGCGATAAGCTAAAGACGGTGGTTGGTTGGATCGTTAGCCGTATCTTGGGGGTGGTGGGGGGCCTTTGGGGTGGGGCGGGGAGGTTTGAGCAGTAGTACACGGCGGGGGCGAACATAAAAATCGCGGCGGTACGCGTGTAAACATTAACATGTTCATGTGAAATTAGGTGGTTCCAGAGCGGAATCGAAAAATGGACGGGGGTTTGACAACTGTCGCCGACAAACGAATGGGATATCATTCATTTCTGTATACCGACATTGAAATACCTAAGTATTTAAGGAAATCTAACTTAAAAATCGGAAATGTAATAATGATATAATAACAATTTTGCAGGGTCTTAACAGTAGTTCCTGAAAAATATCGACAGTTAGCTATTTCTCGATATTTGTTTTATGTTTTCCCTCAAGGCATTGGTATTATCGAATCGATATTGTCAAATTATCGAAAATATCTATAATTTTCAAGCTCTATTTAGCAGAGATAATAATAAGTTTTCTTGTAAAATATTTCTGCCTTGAAATTATAAAAATTTTAGGGGACTTTAAAGATGCAATAATAACAACATAATTTTTAAGAAACTCTTAATTTTATTATTATATATATATTATATTTTATAGGAAGTATGACATTTGTAATTTCGTAAATTCTTAAAATAATCTTAAATTTGGAAAAAATGTTACAAAATTTAAAATGGATTGCTTGATTTTATTTAATAAGGATATTGTTATAAAGCCTGTTTTCTAATTTATCAAGCGTAATACAAACACGATATACCTCTAAAAACAAAACGCCAGGATATCAAAAAGAGAGGGCCGTGAGATGGGCAAAGCAGAGAGACACATAAATCGAAATGGAAACAGAAACAGAAATTAGTAACACTTTACAGCCACATGTGGATTTATGACACCTCCACCTCAGGAGACTTTGGGTTAAGGGGTAGAGTCTCGGGATCTCGGGATCGTTAGACCTGCCACTTGTTGCAGCTGTATTTGGACATTGTATGGGTAGTGTGTGGGGATGGGAAAGGATCGGTCCTGAATGAGTGCAAACACCGTGGATTGGGGGAGTAACGATGGCTAATGAGAAGTCGATAAGATCATTAAGGATTTAGGGGTTAAAAGAGGTGAATGGAGGAGAATGGGAGTGGGGGTGGGAAATGATCGATGGGTTCTCAGGGTTGACAGAAATAAATATGGGTAAAAATAAAAGAAACAAAATTTATTTAATAATAAAAGACGAATAAGATATGTATTATAGCAACGCTTAAAGATTACCGGTGTTTTTTTTATTCTTTAATTTATGGTTTTAATATTGAATTAGCACTTCCATCAGTAATTAATATTAGGATATATTAGGAAATAATGTATAGAAAACTTGATTTAATGGATTATAAATATTTAACATTTATTTAGGAATCGTAAATTAGGATATAATGACACCTTTAAAAAAAATGCAGTGAATGTTATATTAAATTTCGTTTAATACATAAATGAAAATTTGAATGAATATGTTTTTTAAGTAAATCATAATATTTAAGTAAGCAATTTGCATATTATAGCGCCTTGGCAGCTTGAGCTAAAACAGGTAAAATGTAAATGATACACAAGTTTATGGGTAAACCGTTTAATAAAATCAGATAGAAGCCGAGATCAGGTGATCTGGTAAGATCTTTTCATAACCACTTTGCACTAGATTTTTACCTCGGTCTCAACACGCTCCCAAAAAAATCGTAAAATCCAAAGAAAACACCCTCGAGAAAGAAATGAAATTGACGGGGGGAACGGAGGGCTATTCATTTCACGATCGTAAAACATCGAAAAACTATAGTTTGGTTACGCTTTTGTTTTCCAGCTGGTTTCAACTGGAAGTTATATCGCATAACTTTTACCCGCCAAATAATTTCGGGGGGGATTTTTTACAACTTTATAATTTTTACAACTCAATTAACTTTTTTCAAACGCCGCCGGCGCAGACAAATCGAAGTATCGAAAAAAATTAAACAATAAAACAGAGAAATGCATAAACGAAATCATAAATACCTAGGCCATTTTAGATACGTTTTTCTTCTTTTTTTTATGCCAAGTGGGGAGATGAAATCAAACCTGAAAAATGACGTCGAAGCATCGCCCGTTTTTTACTCTTTTTTGGAAGTGTCATAAAAGGCATCAAAATGAAAATTATACGATACTCGCCATAAAAAAAGGAATGAAATACAGAAAAATACAGTTCGCTGAACTGCAGCGACTGGAAAATTGAATCGCGTCTAGGAAATTTAATGGGCGACCATCTAACATTTAAAATTCCCCCGTCTTTTTTTCTGGACCGGCGAACTTCAAAGCTCGGCAACTTGTTGATAAACAACTCGCGGGAAAAAAACGAGCGAAAAAAATTTATTTCGAATTAATTAAAAATATTTGCGCTTATAGAAAAAAGTCAGAGGAGGCGAATTAATTTCATAATCAAATTGGAGCAGCAAAAGGTCGAAATGCATCTGAAAAGGCGGTGGGCAGGGGGCGTGGCAGCGGATACGACGACCGCTTGACAATTTGCGACTTGCCATGAAATCGCATTTTTTGATCTGAGCCGCCGACAAGCTAAGGGAAAATATGTATAAAAAAAATGTTAAAGCCGACTGCTAAACGAAACCAAATGGCGCTTTTTTTTACCATAGCTGCTGCGTTAGAAGAAGAAGAAAGGTAAGGGGAAAAAAGAGGAGCCGAAAGCCCCCAGAAGTACGACATGTGTTGCGGAAATATTTTGTAAACAAGAAAAGCAACGACGGGCAGTCAGGAAATATGCAAAAATACAAAAAGGACAAAGGGAGAAAAATTAAAGGAAACTTACAAAGTCATATGACATACAAGAAAAATGTAATATATTTACAAAACATCATATGAAGTATGTTAAAAATATCACTACATAAATAAAACACTCATTTAAATAAAATAATAAATAAATATCCCATTTTATTAAAAAAATAAAAAACATAAAAAATGGGTAGAACAAAAATTCTTTACTCAGAAAAAAAATAAAAAAACATAAAAAATGGGTAGAACAAAAATTCTTTACTCAGAATTTTTTTTTTAAATTTTTATTTTGTTTGAATGAATTTATTTTTTTTTTATTTATATACATTGAAAGTAAAAGTTGCATTAAAGGTTTTATAAGATGTACTGTTTTTTTTAATTTTTTCAAATTGATTATTTTTTTTTCCAGTGTTTTTTTAATATTGCCTGGTTGAGATCATTTACATACACGCGTCTCACCCACACTCCCTCACTTTTTTATCGTTTCTCACCTTTTTGGTTTACTTGATTTTCGTTCCATATTTGTGTTGGTTGACCATCGGTCGAAATAACGACGATTTTCATTCGCCAACGATCGTGGCTCTTTGAGTGTGTAAGTAAGTGTTTGTGTGTGTAGCGGTTAAACGGGTTTTTTTTTTTTTTTTTTTTTATCTTCAATTGCCTCGTTGATTTGTATTGTTTTCTCTTTTTCTCAGCCAATGGGAAACAAAGGCGGGCTCAAAAAAATAATATAAATGGAAATATGAAAAGTGGAGGTATTAAAATGATCTGGCAAAATCCAATAATAAATATAAAATATAGAATGAGATTTATTTTGACGATATTTCATTTCTAATTTGGCATTTCCAATATCAAATTCTTTTTATTTTCTGTTTTTTCCCCAATTTTTTCTGTTATCAATTTTGAGTGATTGCTTATCTACCCCCATTCGAAATAAATATAAAACACACCTTGGCACTCACCAAAAAAAATATATCTACACATTTTTCCATATATGCATACACAGATCCACATTTGCTTCCTTTTTTATGTCACCGTTTCTTGGGTTTCACAGTCGGAAAATGCTGGAAAGGGGGAGGAAATGGTGGAAACGGGGGGAAATGGTGAAAAGCGGGGGAGTGGGGACTAATGGAATTCACACGTGTTTTGCTTTATTCGTATTGCAGCAATAAAAGTATTCGTTTCAGGTATTTCGTTACCTCGGTGTAACATCAAAATTGGCAAACTATAGAATACCAATATATCACGGAAAATATTCGTGTTTCATTTCAAATTTTTATTGACATGTCACATCGGTGTAGCCGAAGTTTAAACTGTTCGTAGTAAGGATTTAAAAATCGGTAAATAAGAGATACTTTATAAGTTTAAGATAAACTAAATTCAAGAAAACTTTAAAATCCTTAAACTGAATGTTAAATTATTTTGACTTGCTGAACATTATTATTTAATATTAAAGTACTTAAAAATATAGTATGTTCCAACTTTATTTTTAAATACTTTTTTTTAAATAATAGAAATAATTTGCAATAAGGCTTTTAAGTATTATCAAAATCCGTATTTCCTTAAAATAACTAACAAATTGTAAACCTTTAAAATACATTGATCTTAAGAATTCGGTTTATACGGATTTTTTAGCAAAAATATGAGTTTTTCTAAAAAATAATTTGAAAATACTTGAAAATTTAATAAGGGCATTCCATACTTGGTCAATTTGTTGTTTTTTATCGGAAATGTTTACAAGATAATTACGAATAGGAATTTCAGGCGACTTTAGATTCCACTTTTTACTTACGACCTTTTTAATAAACAAGAATATAAACAATAAAAGTAGTTATTTTATTATTTGTTAATAAATGTATCACATATCTAAAAATAAAAAAGCGGTAACCCTAAAATGTCAGGATCGTGTCTCCGCTAGGTTAGCAAATACACCCTCCTCCCATTTCAGCCACACTAAATAATAATTTTTTGGTATATTTAGAAAGAACAGTGGTATTTTTCTCCGATCCGAGCGGTATAATTCACAGCTGAGGTCTTACTAATATCAAGATGGCGTAAATTTGTCGAAATATGTGTGAAATGAAATAGCCATTGAAATTGAAACGAAAGCGCAGCGTTCATGCAAAACGTAAGTGGTCAGTGTAGATTCGTACCGGAAAAGCCCGAAACACGCAAGCGAGAAAAACGGCGGTGACCACGCGCAGGAAAAGTCGAATTTCCCAGCAGCATTTCAGTGTCTCATTGTGCGAGAGTGTGTGTGTGAGTGCGAGCGCCTCGTCTTTGTGTTGGTGTGAAAATGCTGAAGCAGGAGGGATAGCAACGTGCTCGCGGTAAAAACAGTGCGGGTGCAAGCGAGACAACCAGTGTGTCCATCTATTGCCAGGGCAAACGACTCGCATAAGTTTGGTTTTTTTTAATAAGATTTCAAGTTCCGTTTCGTTTTGTTTGCTTTTTTCTTGACTTAATTTGTATCGAAAACATTACAAGCAAACATAAAAACCTAAAAAATAACAATAAAAAAACGTAAAAATATGCCCACAATGCGTTATTATTAAAAATTATTGCATAAAATGCGCTTGCGTGTGGCCCCAAAAAGTGCGAGTGTGTGTGTGTGTTTGTGTGGCGGTACAAAAACAAAAAGTCTGGGGGCTCTCTAAAACAAAGAAAATGAAAATTATTGTGGCAGAATCAATCCAATTAAAAAATTCGATTTCGATTTCAGTCGAATTAGAAGAAGAAGCAGCCGAGTGGGAGAGAGAGCAGCGAGCAAAGCGGAATAAGAAATAAGGAAAACGGAATAAAATAAGCCAAGGTGAGTGAATTTCAATTTACAAAAAGCTAAATTTCAAAAACGGTTAATTTGTCCCACTGTATGTTTTCCCGTCTCCCTTCCCCACCCGCCTTTATCGGCTGCTCCTTATCAGCCCCGTTATTCGCAGTGCATTTGAAGAGAGTGCCGTTAGTTTTCGGAGGCCATTGACGTTGGAAAATTAATTGCAAACATAGAACTGTCGAGCTTTTCTTTTCTGTTGTTTTTGAGGTTTCCCCGTCGAGTTTTTCTTTTTTACTTGCCTTTTCCTGTTTATTCAAGCTTTTTGATTTTTTTTCTGGCGCCCCCGCTGGAACAACTGTTTTTGTCTCTTCTTTGTTCTCTTCTGCGTTTTTTGCGTTTTCTTATTTTGCGGAAGCTTTTCGGCAGCCGCCAACGCAACGTGCAGCTGTTTTGCAATTGTAATCAATTCGCGATGTGTTTATTTTGATAGAACAACTGGTGAATACCCTGGAATATATTAGGTTCCCAATAGGAAAAGTCGTCAATCAATTACAATACACAATAAAAAAAAAATTATTTCATATCTTTTTAAAATTTTTTATTAATATGCGTTACCATAAATATTTCTCTCTGTGCATAGCATAGGTGGCACCAATAAAAAACGGTACTTTTCGGTTAAATAAATCAAAGTCAAAGCGAAAACAACAACAAAACGCAGGCAAGTTTTTGAGGTTAGAACAGAGGAGCGGGAAGAAAGAGGAAGAGAGAGAGAGAGAGAGCGATCTAAATGCGTGAGCGGTAAAAGAAAGCGCGAAGAAAGATGTAAAGTGGGAAAGGGGGGGAGAGGGGGAGAGGAGAGAGGGCCGCCTAAAACAACAATTAAACTTAATTTTTTGTCATTTTTTGCCCGGCAAGTGAAAACTTTCTGCTTGTTGCTTCTTTTTCTCACTTATCTCTGCTATTTGTTTGTGCTTTTTACCACCGAAAGTGTCATTTAAGTGGCATTTTCACAGTGCTGCGTTTTATTTGACTTTTTCTTTCCCTTTTCACGGCAATTGTTTACTCCACACACACACGTTTCTTTTATCTATTTGTTGTTAATCTTTTCTGATTGCTGATTCACTCTTTCATGTTGTTGGTGTCGTCACGTATGAAAATACACTGAAAACAAAAGAATCTTTAATTTCACCATGCGTTTTCAGAAGAGCGCATTTTCCAAGTTTAAATCATTATAAAATATTGAAGAAAATGATTAAATTAACTAAAAATTATCCTATTTTTTTCATACTAAATTAATAATAATAATAATACACTTTCTCCCTGTGCATTTAAATTATCGTTACTCATCGTTTATTAATTCAGCATCTTTTGTTTTTCCCATTCGTAATCAATAAAAACTCAGCTGAATTCAAAGCCACACACACTCATAAATAAAAATAAACGAGATAAACTTTTATTTTGTGCGAGGTTCGGGTTCTTATCTTTTTTTCCCGCTGCATTTGTTTTTTTGCATTCCCAATTGGTTTTGTATTTGCTTTTGCTTTGTGTTTGTCAACGTAAGCCAAGCTTAGTTCTCTCTCGCTCTCGCTCCCTCTGCCTTTATTCTTAGCTAACGGTTTTCTATTTTCGATATCGATTGTTGCCGTGCGTTGTATTTTTATTTATATTTCTTTATCACTGTAAATTAAATGTGAATTCTTCGGGTTTTTGGTGAAAATAACAACTATTTACCTCCGATCACGTAGGCCATTGCCAAAGAGAGAATAATGTAGAGAGAATTTTAATGAAGTTAATGCTGCTTTTATTTATTTAATGACATTATTTCTCTTTTTAGAAACAAATACGGCCTGAAGCGACTGCCTTGAAAACCAAGAACAAGAAGGAGCTTAGACGAAAGGACAGCGCCAGGTGAGAAAAGTAGAAAAAATTTTAATAAATGAAGCGAAAGTCCGTTATCTTTCAAAATAAAGCTGTCAAAATTACAAAATGCTAGCTTAAAGAATTCAATCCGTCAAAATACATCTGTCAAAATCACAAGGAATAAAACTGTACTAGAAAAAAACGAAATAGTAGAAATAACTTCATTTGCCTACCAACTTTTACTAGAAAATTTTGAAATTTTTAATAAGAATAAGGTTAAAATTCTTCGTGATTACGAAAATAATTATTTGGCATTATTTATTTATTATCGATAGTATCGCTAATTAGATAAAAGCCTTGCTATTATTGTTGCAGTTTACCTTGCCTATAAATATCACACATTGTTGTTGGTAGATGTCAATTGTCGAATTTTAAAAACCAGGTGATTCATATTTACTTGTAAAAACCTATGACACCTGAGCTATTTCTATTCACCCTTATAATTGTGACTAAGGAAACTTATTTTCTGAGAGATTTCTATTAAAATGAAAACATAGTAATATTTGCAATCGTAGCTACTTTTTCAAATCTTATCATCGCACTGACAAAAGTAATTTGTTGACTTCTGTGACGTTAGAAAATCACTGTCTATAATATTAAAATACCGGCTAATCTGATTGTGACTATATTTATTATGAGTACGAAACAAAATAATCCCATAAATATTATAAATGCAATATTAATTCACTCTATATCCGCAGAAAGGCCACGCAGATCCGCGGAGGAAACCCCACATCCACACCATCCACACACAAAAACCCACAGAAACAGACATCCGAAAATGGAGCTGCGCGTGGGCAACAAATACCGCCTGGGCCGCAAGATCGGGTCGGGATCGTTCGGGGACATCTACCTGGGCACCACGATCAACACGGGCGAGGAGGTGGCCATCAAGCTGGAGTGCATCCGCACCAAGCACCCCCAGCTGCACATCGAGTCCAAGTTCTACAAGACGATGCAGGGCGGCATTGGGATACCGCGCATAATCTGGTGCGGCAGCGAGGGCGACTACAATGTGATGGTGATGGAGCTACTTGGGCCCTCACTGGAGGATCTCTTCAACTTTTGCTCGCGCCGCTTCTCGCTGAAGACGGTTTTGCTGCTCGCGGACCAGATGATCTCCCGCATCGACTACATCCACTCGCGGGACTTCATTCATCGCGACATCAAGCCCGACAACTTCCTCATGGGCCTGGGCAAGAAGGGCAACCTGGTGTACATCATTGACTTTGGCCTGGCCAAGAAGTTCCGGGACGCCCGATCGCTGAAGCACATTCCGTATCGGGAAAACAAGAACCTCACGGGCACCGCCCGCTACGCATCCATCAACACACATTTGGGCATTGAGCAGTCGCGTCGCGACGACCTGGAATCCCTCGGCTACGTGCTCATGTACTTCAATCTGGGCGCCCTGCCCTGGCAGGGATTAAAAGCGGCCAACAAGAGGCAGAAGTACGAGCGGATCTCGGAGAAGAAGCTGTCCACCTCGATTGTGGTGCTGTGCAAGGGCTTCCCCAGCGAGTTTGTCAACTATCTGAACTTCTGTCGCCAAATGCACTTCGACCAGCGTCCCGACTACTGCCACCTGCGCAAGCTCTTCCGCAATCTATTCCACCGCCTGGGCTTCACCTATGACTATGTGTTTGACTGGAATCTGCTGAAGTTCGGTGGCCCACGCAATCCCCAGGCCATTCAGCAGGCGCAGGACGGCACGGACGGCCAGGCGGGACACGATGCGGTGGCCGCAGCAGCGGCGGTGGCAGCAGCAGCGGCCGCCTCCTCGCATCAGCAGCAGCACAAGGTAAACGCCGCTCTCGGCGGCGGCGGCGGAGGAGGCGGTGCAGCGCAACAGCAACTCCAGGGCGGCCAAACGCTGGCGATGCTGGGCGGAAATGGAGGAGGCAACGGCAGCCAGCTGATTGGCGGCAACGGACTCAACATGGACGACTCGATGGCGGCCACCAACTCGTCGAGACCGCCCTACGATACGCCCGAGCGTCGTCCCTCGATACGGATGCGCCAGGGAGGCGGCGGAGGAGGAGGCGGCGGCGGCGGAGTGGGCGTGGGCGGCATGCAGGGCGGCGGCGGAGGCGGTGGCGTGGGGAACGCCAAATAATATTTTATCGTTTAGGTTGCGACGCTGGACACGACACAGTAGTAGACAAACAACAAGAACAGCAGCAGCAGAACTCGGCAAGAAACAACTATACATGTAGAATATATTATAGCTATATATGCGGTAAAACATGTTGAATGTATCCAAAAGAGCGGGCAGGTGGATCAGATCCCTGCCAGAAACGGAGGATAATAAGGAGCAGGAGAGAAAGAAGAGAAAAGGATCAGCAGAGCAGAGCAACGCAGCAAAGCAAGGCCTTTCTTTTTTTTTTTGTGTACATTTTCGTTTTGTTTTTTGACATTTTTGGTTTCTGCTCCCAGATGTTAGAACGTTGGGCGCGCCTATTATTAATTAACTAGCCTATGATTAATTTAATTTATACTATTAGAACATAAACGATTGCAACTTGGCTGCAAGAAACTGCAAGAAACCGCGCACTGTTCAATTGATTTGAAATACCCGAAGAGAAGAAGGTTCCAGGGATTTGGGAGGAGAGCCAGGAAACGCAGGCATTTAATTTTGTTTTCGCATTTGCATATTGCTCTCGGCCGGCTCAATTTTTCGTTGTTAATTTGAAATCCCAGTCCCCACATTTGCGAACCGATCATAGAACACACACATAATAACTCGTTTGTAAGTGTAATATTTGTGTAAAAGAAACAAAGGACAACCCGTTCAGCGAGTGTCCCCAACCCTAGAGTATAGGCACTAGCGATAGCGAATCCAATCCATACAACAAGGCATATATGCTATGCTATATAGCAGAAACACCCACATTGTAACCTAAGTTGAAGCCGATTTCGGGGCGCAATTAAACGATGATTATGATATATGTATATCAAGTGCAGTAGAGGGGACGTTCTGTAGCTTTAAGCAACGCTCTGACTTTTAGGAACCCCCCATGTTATATTATGTATCTTACTGTAAACGCCTACGATCCCCGTATATCTGTACTATATATATATATATATATACTTTCGTGGTCTGCACTTTCCGCTGCCTGTGTTCATATATATTTTTCCGATTTTTTTGAAACCAACACTAACTGCTGCGCGCATTTCTCAAGCGGAAATCCCCGGGAAATCGACGAGGATGGTGGGCGGTGGGGCAGCCCCTTTGTTTACGCAACAAAATCATGTAACTAAGATAGAGAGCGTATAAATAGCGTTTAGAATACACAAAACAATTTGCATTAACGTTTCGACTTAAAAAAGAAAGAAAAGAAGAAGTAAAGCCCCATTCAGAGGTAAAAATACATAACGCTAGCTAATAAATTATAGCTATAATATGAAATTTGTTTATAAGTAATACCAAACCGTAAAATAAAACAAAAACACAAAAATCGAAAAAAAAAAAACTTAAATTCTAAATGCGCCAAGAGAAAATGGGTAATATAAATATATATATAAATATACAAAAATATATCTTATGAGAACACGTAAAACATGTAAACCCCACAGTCTAAAAACTAACAAATCAAACAAGCAACAACAAATTGAAAAAAAAAAACACAAAATCGGATCACTGAACGCAGAAGCCACTAAAAACTTAAATAAAAAATGCATTACGTGATATTTCTTACAAATTGTTTTTTATGATTTCTGAACTTTATTTTCCCATCGGTTCTGTAATTTCCTCCTCGATTTTTCTGAAGCGCACGCCTTGCAAATCGACCAACTTTGTAAACACGACCATATAGCTCTCTCAGCCAGAAATTGGGGATCCTCCGTGGATATAGCAGCCCCACGCCTCCTCCCAATATCCAAACCCGAATTAACAACCTAACGAGTGTACATATACGAAATATCCAAGACCCTAAAATAAAGAAAACATTAAAATATATGTGTGATTTTCCTCCTAGCATACAAGAGTAATAAACCTAAACCATTAGCATTTTATTGATAGAAACGAAGAAATCGAAAAGCCCGAATAACTGATTCATAACTAGAAATGGAGAACTAAAGATCTTGTGTGAAAAGTCCATTCAGCATAAGCGAAAAAATAGAGAAACTAACAAATTGAAGAAAAACATAGTAATTTCGAAAGTTTTGTATAATTAACTGTATATGTATATTGAGAATAGAATTTTGAACTAAATAACTAATTAAACTTCGAATCGTGTTCGAGCGCAGAATATCGATTATATCATGGGCGAGATATGAAAGAAAAACATTAAAAAAAATAAAAACCACCAACAGTGATATGGAATACAAAATAACCACGAAAGAAATCGAAACGGTTCATGAAACATTTAAAAAGAAGTACGTTAGATCGGAATTCGAGTTCGACGGATGTATCGGTGCACGCCACATTTATGTAATTAGCAAGTATTTCGAATTAAACCGAACATGAAATATGTATGTGTGAACAGAATAAAAGCAGCCACTAAATAAGCCACACCACTCACAATAACAATTACGAAAGAGGCATTAAAAAGCTTAAACAATAATAACACAACTCACTGGAACTGGTTTTTGTGTCGGTAACTAGCTGTGGGGTGGAAGTATAACTAGGATTATTCTGGATCCTTGAGGTTGAATTTGAAAAACTTTCAAAAAATCAGAGAGATTAATACTTTGGGGAGCTAATTTCAATAAAATTGGGCTAAATAAGCAATTAAAACGATTTATTGAATAACAAATATTATTTTACGTTTTGAAATAATTTATTTATATTTAAAATTGGACTCCAAAATTTCTAGTAATAATTATAATCACATTTTTAGATATAATAGATTTTGCTTACCAATTTTTTTTGTTAAAAGATTTTTATAATATTTTTGAAAGGATGTCAAGGAGTTTGTCCCATTTACTAAATCAACCTGACAGCCCTGTTGCAAAACTCTGGTCACTTTACCAATCAGCTGACTTATTGGTTGTTTTAGGGATTTTCGTGCTTTCGCTTTACGGTCATACTGAGCACATCTTATTTTGTTGGCCCCGTAGTTTTTCACCGAAAAGGTTAATAAAATCTTCGATATAAACAAAACAGAGTGTGGATTCAGCCCCTGTAGACCTGAAACCTATTAACCATGTATATATTTTGCAGGTTTTGCGCCAGGATCAAGAGCAGGAGGAACTTGAAAGATGGGAGCCCGACAGTCTCAATCCCGCGAACCCCGATCCGTTTCGATGGAAAACCCAACTCCTGCCGGCGTTATTGATATATCCGACGATGTGGTCAAGCGACTGAAGGCGGGGATCTCGCAGCAGGGTAAATAATTAACAAGTATTATGGAATACCAGCCGGAAATATGCGATTCGCTCTGCCCGGTGTTATGCAACAATTGTCAAAACGGGCGATTGTTTATGCCAAATACAGGGGAACTTCACTAAGTAGATTGGTAGCAAGATCATTAATCTCTCACTTTTGAAGAATAGGGATCCTATATCTTTTGGTCACTTAAAATTTCAGTTCAAAAGAGTCTATAAGGAAGTTCTTTCGTTCCTGTTTAGTAACTGAACTTTTCCAACTCACCTATACTAAATTTAAATTTAACCAGACAGATAAATCAATATTCTAAATAATGAATTCCTAATGATCTAATCTAGTTTACAAAATAGCTTCTAAATCATACTCAAAATACAAACTTGTAATACCCATAATCTTTTCTTCTTGGATTATTTGTATTCCTGAAAACCAAAATGAATTAAAAACTAAGATCTTAAAAAATTCCAGAACATTATAATTCGCTTTAAATAACTTTGATAATATTTCTACTATCACCTACCATTATTGATTTATTCCCAACCATTTCAGCTCGTGAGCACGCCGCCGCTGCAGAAGATTCGAAGCCAGCGGGGCCCAAGGCAACACCAAAGGCAGCTGCCAAGCCGGCCACATCCTCGCCAGCTGCTGCTGCCGCTCCCAAAGTGTCCTCCTATCCCGCAGCGGTGCCCATTTACGTGCAGGGCGGTGGACACACCATCAGTGCGGCCGATGTGCAGCGCCAGATGAACCAGGAGCTGGTCAAGAACGACGAGCTGTGGAAGGAGCGCATGGCGAAGCTGGAGGAGAACCTCAAGAAGACCAACACCATCCTGGAGAAGGAGTACGCCAATGCGGTGGACAATGTGCACAAGCGATTCGTGAGCACCGCGTCGTCGCACAAAGTGCCTCCCTGCCAGGATCTCAAGTCCCAGCTGCTCGCCTGCTACCGTTCGCATCCCGGCGAGACGCTGAAGTGCATGGAGGAGGTTGCCCAGTTCCGGCAGTGCATCGATCTGCATCGCGTCAAGAAACTGGACGCAGAGCCAGAGGCTCCCAAGGCGGCCAGCAGCAAGGCAACCGTTCCTGCCAAGGCGGCCTAGAGATTCTTGTCCTGATTTGTTGACGATAGCCTTTTCTTTGAGGCCCCCTATGGGCTTTGTATAAACGATGGAGCGAACGAAAGTGTCATTGCGATAGTAAACTAATTTAAATGAATCAAAAAACAAGTTTTACTGGCCGGGAGTTTCGCTGATTAAAGAATAAAACGACTTGCATACTTTTTAAGTGTATCTATTTGGTAAAGATCAACAATCACTCCTTTCTCTCGCCTCCTCTCATTCAACTCAACAATTCGTAAGATTATAATCATTAATTACATATACACACATAATCGAAACAACATTAATTACAGCATGTGACCGCGTAGAAAAGCCGCTGCGCCAGTGGCCAAAATGGCAATCAAAGAGGCACTTAAAACAGTGGCACTACTTTTGCCCTGGTTGGTGGGTTTCTGCGTCGCCTCCTTCTGATCCTCGCAGGAATCATCGAAATCCTTGGCGGGACCCAAACAGCCCGCATAACTCATCACATAGGCCAGATAGTTCTGCTCGAAGACGCCGCGAATTAAACTGGAACCGGGTCCATAGGCGAAAACGGCCACATCCTCGCCGCCGTGCGTTTCGTCCTTCCTGGGAACTGTGGCCAAGTGGCGGTAGGTGGGAGCCGCCCGCTCCTCCTCGGTGAATTGCTTCAGGGGCATCCACATATTGGAACTGTTTTGCGGTCTTGAGTCGTTGGCCAAGTGATCCCAATAGCCGGGTCCTACAAAAATTAGTTTTTAATATTTAAAATACCTTTAAAGTTGTGTATTATATTTTACCATTGGCATACGAGATGGTCTCATAGACCATGGGATCGTTTTTCTCGTGCGAGTTGGCTGCTCCCAGGATGTCGGCTCCTCGGAGGGCATAGCCATTGAAAGTGACCGCATGCGAGTGATCTGCCGTCACCAGGATCAGAGTCTCCTCGGGATCGGTGTTATTCACGGCTGCTTGGATGGCCAAATCGAATTCGTAGAGTTCGTGGAGCGCCGCACGGGCGTAGTTCATGTGGTGACCCTGATCGATGCGGCCTCCCTCGACGAGGAGAACGTAACCATTGGACTCATCGCCCCTCTCCAGGATTCCCAGCGCTGTCTCGGTCATTTCCTGCAGCGAAGGCTCTCCCTCTTCCCTGGCCACCGAGTAAGTGATGTGATTGTTCCGGAACAGACCCATCAAGTGATCCACTTTCTCAACATCTACTTTCAGGAGATCCCTGCGGTTGTGAACCAAAGCCGCGGGCACTGAATCGTTGGCATGATGAGCTAGCCACTCGGCAGGAAGGTTCCTATTATCAGCTCGACTGCAAATGGTTTCGGTGGGTCCTTCGAAGTTCGTACTCCTCACCTCCGAGGCATTCAGGATGCCCATGGGAGACATTCCGCCGCCGAGGATGACATTAAAGCGATTTCCCGGCGCATTTTCCACCAACTGACGAGCAATGTCCACATGAATGCCCACAGATTCGGCGGGAACCTCCGTATCGCACTCCCAATCGCGGTCGTAGATGTGGGCGTAGGTGGCAGCGGGCGTGGCATGAGTGATTCTGGTGGTGGTGACAATTCCAGTGCGCTTGCCCGCCTTTTGTGCCCATTCCATGACGCTTTGCACCCTGCCCTGCTGGCCGTTCTTCTTCGAGCGCGTAGCATCCATTCCAATTGCTCCGTAATGGGTCTTCGAACCCGAAAAGATCGCCGTGGCCGTGCCCGCCGAATCCGGAACCTGTTTGTCCACATTGTAGGTCTGTAAAACAGTAGAAATTTAAATTTAAATTATTAATATTAAATATTAAAATCATTACTGAAAATTCCAAGTTTATATTAAATCTGCTAAAGAATTCGCGTTCTCACTTTATTTATGAATTAAGCTGTGGCTTTATATAATTAAACCTATCAAAAATGTCAGTGTATTAAATATTAGTTCCTCGTGTTCTAAAGAATTCGTAGTCTCATTTAGTTGAATGCTTAATTTTTTTAAAGAACGTGTTTTAGTAAAGTTTACATTTAAATTATTGATATTAAGTTTATATTAGTTCTGCTAAAGAATTCGCGTTCTCAGTTTATTTATGATTTAAGCTATGACCTTTTATAATAAAACCTTTGAAAAATGTCAGTAAGGTAAATATTTGTTCCTCTAGTTCTGAAGAATTCGCGGTTGCATTCTTTGAACGTTTTCTTTTCTTCTTTTTTAGTACTGTAAATGTATTTTATATATTTAATTAATTTACCTTTGCCATTCCAGTGTTTGGGAAGTCGTCGAAAACCAGAGTTTCCTCCTCGCTGTGGCCGTGCTTCAGATACTGGCCCTTGTAGATGCGACCAGCGCTTATTGTGGAGATTCCCATACCATCCCCAATGAAGATGATGATATTCCGCGCTTTCTTCTGGTAGGAATCCTCCTTCACCCTTTGCGCCTGCTTAATGGTCTTCTCTAGCTGCCGCAGACCCACTTTGTGCCAGAATTCCGCATCTGAAATCGGATCGGGAAAAATGAAAACTAATTAAAACTAAATCGGATTGGAAATCGTGAGGTAAGTCAACTGCCATGTCACGTATTAATTGCCCATCTCCAGTGAGATCCAGTAAGCACTTGAACATGTTTTGGTTCTAGTTTTTAAGTACATGACTAGTTACGCTGATTTATTTTCTTACTAACGTCGCAAAAAAATACCTAGCTTTTCCACATTTCAGTGGCAAGTGGATCCCCCTCGAACGAAAAACGAATTTTCTTGATTTATGCACTTCACTTTTAAATATATAATTTTTGCATTGTTTAATGTAAACCAGAATTTCTGTCTTGACTTTAATACTCAGCTGATTTATACGTACTTATCTTAATTTTTGTTTGCTTTAGTTAATGTATACACTTGAATTATAATTTCTAGGGTTGTATTTATACACCTAATCTCCATTTTATTAGCTAATCTTAATTTATACAATACGGTCATTTAATTGTTTTAGTAGTGGCAATAATAGTTTTCCCTAGATTTACGATCATTAAATACGGTATTTAATTTAATAATAAAGTTTTTATGGAGATCTTTAGGGATTACTTTTATAATGTTAGCACTCTGATCTGATTAAATTTATAAATTAAGCATTTAGTGTGAAAAAAATATGATCCTATATATATATTTCAGTTATATCAGCTCATCTTCTCCTTATAAATTCATAATTTATATTAAATCGAAAGTCAAAATCACATTTAAATTTTAATAAGGTTTTATGGGGAATACAAATATTATAACATTTGCATTTCCTTTACGCGATTTGGAACGTGCATTCACTGATTTACTTGCGGTGATGATTATCATTTCGCGATATGTAATTAATATTCAGTCGAGGTAGCTTAAGTATGGGGCACCTATTCCACCCACTGCCGCCCACCACCCACCGCCCAGCGACCTCGACACTGAGACAGGTTACAGTTAAGCTTCATTTGTTGACTGCTAATTTCGGCTTGTCAATGAAATTAAAAGTTATGATAAATCAGTATTTTTTCGGGTGATTTTTTTGAGGGATTAAATATGCCTTTTTCAACTCTAATTATTAAATTCAATCATAGTTAAATTAAACAATTAGTGTACTTTTTTGTACCTTTTAATTTGTTCCCCAGCAGTTTTTTCTCTGTCACTAATTCGAGCAGTTACATTTAAGTGTATATTTCGTAATAGGGCTCCATTTGTGATGCTTTTTTGTTCCACTAGGTTATACAGTTGATTTTTTCACTGAGTTGCAATGACCTCTCTCAATTTTAAAAGTAAATGTAAGTGACTTGCTAAGTGCCCAAGATTTTGCAACCTTGATAAAGCAGTGTACCCAAGTTTAAGTTCTCGTTGCATAATTGACTTGGACAACCATTCCAAGTTCAAGTAATTTAAACATTTTCACGTTCTAAACGTAATACTTTAGTTTGGTTTTAGCACGTTTGGCCAGGAAATTTCCGTTACATACAAGTTGTAATTATGGTCTTACCTTCGGGTTCCTTGGGTTTTTCCACATCAAACTGAGGTCCTATATCTCCGCCAGCGCTCAGAGTTCGAATCAATGGAGGCGGTTGGGTTGTGACTGCTGCCCAACTAAAGGCCATCAGGCCACCGCAAAGAAATCCAAATAAAACCAGGGAATGCATTTCTCTAAAGACGCACTAAACGCGGACAATTGAGGGCGACTATTTTCGGTACGGTGGCGATTTCTATTCAAATGATGATTTATTTATCACAGCTCAGCTTGAGGCGCAGATTCTTTCAGCAGGCCATCGAGATTGATTAGAAAATGCGCGGAACGATTCGTCGTCTCGAAATTCTGTACCGAGTGGATCTCAATTAGCGACTAACACCGAAGTCGAAGCGCCGTTATATATATGGCCTGCCCAACTAACTATCCATCCAGCCGATCGGCCAGACCCGAAGTCCCAGCACTCACACATGCGCTATAAAAAGTATGATCGTTTCGGCGGTTCGGGGATTCTACCCAGTACTTGTGGATTATATCCAGCGCATTTAACATATTTTTTTGCACTCGCATGGGTGTTTTAGACACGTATTGCAGCTTCAGTAATTTTAATTACATGTTTTAGTATTAAAACACAATTGGGCTTATATTTATAATTTTAAACTTTATTTATTTAACTGTTCTAAATATTATGCTACATATTTTTGAATTTTTTTAGTACTTGTTCTTTAAATTTAAATTATAAAATGAAATATTAAATTATTTTTATTGGTTTTATAATTACAATTTTAATTATTTCATTTGAACTAGGAGTTAAGTTGAAGATTTTATTTTTAAATGTTTAATATAATCCATGTTCACAATGTATTTATAAATATTTAAAGATCTTTCTAAAGCAATTAAGTGCAACTACAGGATATCTCATAGTCGAACAATCCAAACCGAATCCATTAAGTTAGCCGCTTGCAATAGCAAAACGTTTGTCTCAATTAAAATTACGGCTCTGCCGAGATAAATCCATAAAAACGTGCAAAGCGCTCACGAACTAAGGGCCCCCGTAAACCATAAACACATTTTAAACGATCACTTGTTTGCCCGGGAATCTTGCCCGGAATTCTCCGCCGGTTCCCGTGTCGATGGGCTGATTTACGGCGGAGCTTGCACGTGAAGCGGCTGCTGGTCGGCATTATCTGGATCTTTATCTTTATCTCGACCGATGTCTGCAGACGGAATTGCTCTGCCGTTGTTTGTCTTCCCCGGAATTGATAAAGGAAGTCATCAAGGGGTACCCTCGACGGCACACATAGCGTATGCGTGTTATTTGTTATTTGGACGAGCTTGACTTTTGGGCTGCCAGTCGGCAAACATTGAAAAGAGTTTATCATCTGAGTTCCGAGGGACGCTGTTCGCGGCGACCCCTCAATGCCACTTATTCGGATCTTTTTATAGATCATACTAGATCTCGGGAATACAATGGAAACGCGGTCTATTGTTATGAGTTTATGTTCTAGTTATATCAGATTTCACGTTTAAGTCTAGTGACCGATTGGCACTTAAAAAAGTTCCTGTTAAATAATCCAGGCGAAAAATATAGAAAATATAAAAAGGATGGTGATGATACATAGTGTGTCTAAAAAAAATAAATTTTTAATTAAATAAATATGTGTTTGTTTTTAAAATGTGTCATTATGACACATTAACATTGTCACGGAAACGGATGATGATATATGGGATTTTTGCAGAGGTCATAAATATTTGCATTAGTGATCTCCAGAAAAAATCACGTGCTCTTTTTATGCCAGTTTGCATGAGTGTTTTAAGATCAAAGTCAATATTAATCTTGACTGTGGATGTTGTTGCAGGTTACCAAGATTTATTAAGAAGCATTTGGTGCGGTGATGATAGATTGTCGACACTTCGCAACCCAGAGCGTTGTAAATCTTTATCTGCCCTCTGGGAGATAGATAGAACGTATCTTTATTGGCAAACAGGTGAATCGAAAAAAAATATGGGGAAACTTCCACAGCAAGTGACGCTCTTTTTGAACCCGTGCATTCAACGGTGTTTGCATTTCGTTAATTGTTATTACATCGACTCGTGCTGATTTTTTACGCTTGACTAGAGAATCGTCAGAGATGGGAACTTGGGAGATTTGTATCTAAATCCATAAAGCTTAAAAAAATATTGACAGTTTGCTTTTTTCGATATTTAATTTTTGTTTCCCTTCAAAACATCGATATTATTGAATCAATATTGTCAAAATATCGAAAAAATCGATAATTTTCCGAATTATTTATATTTTAAAATATTGAAGTCAGTAGGTTTGTTTGTTTTAATTATAAAAACTCGAAACGAACTTTTAGCTATTTGCAGCCATTTTTATTAAACTGTTTTTCATATCAGCTATGCATTTTTACTAATATCGCCTGGGGGTTTTCGCGGAGAGATTCTATAAAGTGAGCAAATACAATCGAAAGCTGTACAATTGCAGGTCACATTCTTTTTGTTTGGTTTTGACTAGCATTAGAGAAAGTTTTTTGTATAAAATTTTAACTAAAGCTAAGGTCATACTCTCAAATAAATTGGCACAAATTATAGGGTATACTTGTTATTTCATGTATACTTTAAGACATCTTTTGAAGAATTTTTATAATCATTATTTTTAGAACAGTTTGTGTGAATTTATTTGCGAGCCTGACCTTACCTTAACGAGGAGTAAAACTAAATGGGTAACAGAAAGTCGAAACGAAAATAATAAAAAATAGTATTAAGCAGGCGGCCACCCTGAGAATCCACTATGAGAACTTCTTGGTGGTGAATCCTGCCCGCACATTACTGGTGGTGGCCGATTTAACAGTCCGGCTCGTTTTGGTTACGGTTGTGGTGTCATTACTACTGATGTTGCTGACGTCCTTTGTCGTCGTGTTGCTAGTGTTGCTGTTGCTGTTGCCAGTGTTGCTGTTGCTGTTGCTAGTGTTGCTGCTGCTCCTTGTGACCGTGGTGATGCTGCTGCTGCTGGCACTCATCAAAAGCGGACGGCGCGGCGGCATCCGTTCGTTGACCGCATCCAGGCCCTTGGCCTCCGCAAAGGAGTGAATGTGCGAGGATGCGGTCAGTCCTTCCAGAGCTGAAAGGATAGCGAAAGGCTCAATTAATTATCATCAATAACAGTGGCTTGCCACAAAGTTTGATAAACTTTAATCATCAATTGGCATGAGTAAATGTTTCTTAAAGTAACCAAGTAAGTTCGCAAACTTATAAACATATTTATAATAAATTTACCATTGCCTAAAATAATTCCACACATCATAAAAAATAATTACAAAGAATTATAATTATTTTAATCAGGCTGTAAATCATTGTAAAACCATTTGACAAATTATATAAAAATTGTGTCATATATATAATTGAACTTATGACCGTTACGCTCCCTGATCTCTACAAATCGAATTATAATAGCTTTTACCAAAACAACTTTATAACTAAAATGTGCACTGTTTACGTTGACTAGTCAGTATTGAAAGATGTCTACTAATCAATTCGTTTTAATTTTGCTTTTTACACTTATTTATTCAGTTGTTAAGGTTAAAAATTTGTATAAAATATTAAAAAAATATTTTTAAAATTACAATAAATATTTACTTAACTATACTTTAGATATCTTCAAAGTTTGAATTTACCAACATTGAGTGCACGACTTTGGATAAAAAGTTTGATGACTTTGAATATTGCTATTTAAAGTCGATCAACAGGACCTACAAATATCTATCGTTAAAAGTAAATTTATTCAAAACGCCAATCACGAAAGTTAAGGTTTGTAGATCATAATCATAGCATCGAGTAGAATAAAATAAAGATCACTAATTTTCCTCAGGTCCGTGGAACACTTTTCAAACGCTTCAATGGGTATAAGCCATTCATGTTTAATGTCACTGTGGATGCCTGTAGATTCTTGAAAAATACCAAGTCAAATGCTTTGGCCTCGTACTTTTTGGACTTTCTAAAACCTTACTCCAATATGAATCACAGCTGCCCCTTTGATGTAAGCTTAATTTACCCTTATGATTAATCAATTAAAAGGTAATTCCTGATTTTAGCATGATCTAATTGTGGATAAATTGGCAGTTGACTTTGTTAATCATCAAGCTACAAAAGTTCTACCTTTCCCCGAAGGCTCTTATTTCCTAGAAACTCATTGGATTGCCTATGACATCGATCGGGCGGTGGTCAAAGTCTATGGGACTCTTTCCTGATTGATTACCAAGTATTTGTAAACAAAAGTTGTGCAAATAACCTTAATATTAAAAATATACTCTTGTCCAGACTTTTAAATCAAAAATCGTTATTTTATAGCATACAAAAATTGAATAATAATACTAAAATAAATTATAAATACTCATAACTTAAGTTGAGATTGTTACGGTTTCTGTTCCACAAATCGACTTTTAATGGCTTTAAATAAATGCCCTTCGTTACTAAAATCAGAATCTGTTCGCTTTGTTTACTCAATATTGAAAGATGTGTGCCAAGCACATAGTCCTAGTTGTGCTTTTTGCTCTTCTGTACTTCGTTGTAAAGGTTGAGGATTTGTTAAAAATAATAAATAAAAAAAGGTTAAAAAAATATATACATTTACATTACATTTGTTCTTCAGATATCCTCAAGATTTGAATTTACCAACATTGAGTGCACGTCCTTGGATAAAAATTTTGATACCTTTGAATATTGCTATTTGAAGTCGATTAATCGGACCTATAAATACCTATCGTTAAAAGTGAATTTATTTAAAACGCCAGTCACGAAGGTTAAGGTTCGTAAAATATATTATAGGAATAAAAAAGGGTTAATGATCCTAAAATTTTTTTAGGTCCGCGGAACACTCTTTAAAAGATATAACGGCTACAGGCCATTTATGTTTAATCTCACAGTGGATGCCTGCAGACTTCTAAATGATACACAGTCACATCCTTTGGTTGCTTACTTCGTTGAGTTCCTAATACCCCACTCCAATATGATTCACCCATGCCCCTTCACTGTCGGTATATTTTACGAAAATGTAGCCTTGATTAATGGCATTTCCTGATTATAGGAGGATCTAGTTGTGGATAAACTGTCAGTGGGTTTTGTAAATCATCAAGCTACAAAAGTTCTTCCATTCCCGGAAGGTGCGTATCTTCTAGAAACTCATTGGCTTGCCTACGACATTGATCGTGCTGTGGTAAAAGTATATGGAACTTTATCCTGATCGGTTTTCAAATAGATTTAGATTTATTTAATTCATTTTATCACCAGTTTGTTTCATTGTTTAATTTAATTAAAATAAAAAATGTACTAAAACATTTACTAATTTTTAGTTTCATATTTTTATGGAGATCTCGAACCCAACTAGTTTTGGTAATCAGAAATCACTTAACTGAACTCATTATGTAAATCAATAGTTTTTTTCTGGTTTAGCGGAGCTATTAATTGTTTTAAAAATTCATTACTACTTTTTTAATGGAATTTTAATAGACTTTGTCAACATAAGTACAAACCAACTGTAAACTATTTACATTGGTTAGTCAATATTAAAAGATGGGTGGTAAACACAGGATTTTACTCTCGCTTTTTGCCATTCTGATTTCTGCTGTTAAGGTTAAATATTCTGCAATATTACAAAAAAATACAATATTTATTAAATCTACTTTAAGATCTACTCAAAGTTTGAATTTACCAATATAAAGTGCAATTCTGTGGATAAAGAGTTTTCGGACTTTGAATACTGCTATATAAAGTCGGTAAATCGAAGCTACAAATATTTGTCAATTAAAGCTAATCTCTTTAAAACGCCAATTACGAAAGTGAAGGTATGCTGGTATCAAAATTTAAAAATAATAATTCTAACCACAATAGTTTTTATTAGATCAATGGGGTGATATTCAAACGATTTAACGGATACAACGGCTACAGACCTTTTATGTTCAATGTCACTTTGGACGCCTGCAGATTCTTGAATAACACCAAGTCAAACCCAATTGCCAGCTACTTTTTTGATTTTATAATACCTTTCACGAATATGTATCATAACTGCCCCTTTGATGTGAGTGTATCTTTTTTAAGATCATTACATTTCTTGATTATTGTAATGAACTCTTTTGTTTCGCATGCAGCATGACCTCATTATCGATAAAGTGCCTATTGATTTTGTTAACCATCGAGTTACAAAGGTTCTTCCCGTCCCAGAAGGCGATTACTTATACGAAACGAATTGGATTGCCTACGACATCAAAAGGGCAGTGGTTAAAGTATACGGAACTATATCCTGATATATTTAAAATATGGGAAAAACACAATGAAGTCATAAAAAATTGTATTGTTTTATCCATGATGTTCATCGAATTAACTTTTTTTAGTAAATGTGGGGTCCATTTGAATGTTATTTGAGTGCTTTAAAAAAGGGCATGATCACAAAGCGTATCAATAATTAAACTGATTTGTTTTCAGATGATTGGATAAAACTATAAATAAGTCATTACCAATTTAAAAAATAAATTTTAACAATAGTTCAGTCCTGGTTGTTTTATTTGCTCTGTAAGATGTGTACTGAGTTAAGGGGTTATATACCTTTTTTTTTTAAAAAAAACGAAATTTTTTTTTTTTGCTGAATTTTAAAGTATATCCCCTAGAGAACATCTTCCCAAATTTTCATACAGATCCGAATAATAGTTCGATAGGAAAACAGCGTTTTGACGCGCTCGACTTCAATAGTTGCAACGTCAACGTAAAACTTTGAATGCGATTATCTCAAAGTCGTGTTTTTCCAAAAGTGCCTTCGCTGTGACCACGATTGCGCAAGAACTATTTGATCGATCTTCTTCAATTTTTTTTTAAATTATTCGTAATGATTGTGCCGAGTTCGTGAACGATTCAGTTTTTATGCGCCAATTTTAATTTCGCAGATCAGAATTTTTTAATACAATTTTTAGAACTTGAAAAATCAACTTTTTGGAAAAATTGTTACTGTATGCAGAAAAAAGGAAATATTCTTAAAAGTAATCGTTCACGAACTGGAAATAATACTATTCTAACTAAAAATTTTTGGTTTTTTGATATCAGTTGACCTGCTAGACTTCCATCGTGGTCACCGCAAGCCGCTATAAAAAAAAAGGGTTCCGAAAGAATTGCCATAACTTCGTAAATTATTCATATTCTTTCAAGAACAAAGGCTTGTTGTTTCGATAAAAGCATGTACTATCAATAAATAATAACTTCCCTGTCATAAAATAATTGCTACACACCAAAAAAAAATCCAAAGTTCCCTCAATTTTTTCGCTCAAAAAAGGTATATAACCCCTTAAATAATGCGGCTCTCTGCTTTGTAATAGTAGTTTCTATGGTTGTCAAGGTTATTAAGATAAATGTTAAGCATTTAAAAACTGTTAATATCTAAAAAAATTGTTTTGAAGATTTCCTCCAAATTTGAATTCACCAATGTCAACTGCACATCTTTAGATAGAGAATACTCCGATTTCGATTATTGCTATTTAAAGTCTGTGAATCGAAGCTACAAATATGTTTCAGGAAAAGTAATGTTATTTAAAAAACCCGTTACCAAAGCCAAAGTAAATATTTTAGTACAGAGTTAATATTTAAATACAGAGTAAAAACTGTATAAGTCTGGATAACAATTTCATGTTAACTTAGGACTATTTAAGCGATTCAATGGGTACAAACCGTTTATGTACAACTACACAGTGGACTTATGCAGATTCCTAAAAGATCCTCAATCGAACCCCCTTGCGAATTTCTTTTATGCTCTTCTTAAGGATAACTCAAATATAAATCATACGTGTCCTTTTAATGTTAGTAATTTAAAATACTTGTTCTATTGTTATTAATCCCTATATTTTAAATAGCATGATCTTTTGGTATTCATAACCAGCAACTTTGTAAATAATATGTTTACAAATGTTTTGCCTTTCCCGCATGGCGATTATCTTATTAAAACCCGTTGGATTACTGACGATGTCGATCGAGCTGTAGTCAAGTTGTATGGCAGTCTGACTTGATGAATTGAATTTAATAGTATACTGTATGTGTATACAGATGATGGTTTTAAAACGGTTAAAAATAAATACGAAATATTTAAGGATGGTAAAGATCCTTTATAAATCTTATTTTAGACTTTTATAAAAACTATTTTAAAATAATTAATTTTTACTGAATTTCAACCTTTTAAAGGGATTTAAATTCCTAGTAATTTCTATTTGAAATCTTCATAAATGGTAAAAATCATTTATAAATCTTAATTTATACTTTTATAAAAAGAAATTATTAATTGTAATTTTATATTTGACTCACCCTCCTTGAGGGAATCCCTTCCGCCGGACAAAGCGCCCACTGGCAAGGCGCCCGTGGGCGTCAGACCCTTCAGCTGGAGCACGCTCTCCGATTCCTCCCTGTTCGGGGATATATTTCAATATTGAATTATTTAAATATTTTCTAGGGGATTATCGGGGACATTATGCACCTGAGGATGGAGAAGACGCGCGACATCTTGCCGATGGCCCGTATCTTATTCCGTATTATCTCTTTGCGCAGCGCCGACATGGAAGCTGCGAATTGAGGGCTCGATTAGACGGAATCTCGCTGGGTCACGGGGTAAATGTAATGGAAATCAAAGCCGATCAAAGCGGGGTGCAAAGCTATCACTAAGCTTTTCTATCTTTGGCTCAGGAATTTGTTTGGATTTTCTTTCTGTTTGGCTGTGGCTCAGGCATTTTTGGCAGCGGCATTTGCATTGGCAGTGGCATTCGCATTGACATTGACTGTATTTGCTGGCTTCGTTTTGGGCCTGCGCTTAACACCTGGCTTACCTGGCTTACTGGGCGTATTATTGTTATTGTTATTACTCGCGTTCGCCGGCACGAGCACAATTTTCTTGCGCAGCTCTTTATTTTTGTGTGTTTTGAGTGGAAAAGTTGGTTGGTGTTGTTGGTACATATATTATTTATATATTATGGGTGGAGGTAGTAGTAGATTGCAGTTGTTGTATTTCGGTTTTTTGTTTCGGAAAATATTTTTAATAGAAGATTAGTTTGTAGTACACAAGTGTATCCCGTGTTGGTTCACAACAACCAAAGCACTACGACATTTACACACAGTCTAGTACGAACAGAACCGCGCTGTGGACCCCCAAACTTACCTTCCTCCAGCTCGTCATCGGGTCCGGCCACTAACTCATCGTCAGAACAAATGTTCAAGATATTCACCAGCATCTCGGTCACCTTAGAATTTTTAAAATAACAAAAATATTGGGACAGGTTATTAGTAGAGTAATAATATTTAGTTTTAGATAAATTATCGATATTTTCGATAATTCCACAATATTGATAAGATTATATCGATGTTTTAAAGGGAAAACACATATTAATATAGAGAAATAGCAAACAATTATCTGAAATCTCTTTTAAAAAAAATATCTGATCCCCCAATTTCTGTTAGTGTAAGTTGCTAGTTTTATAAGAGATATAACTTATTTAAAATATAAATATACCCATCTCATCCCCCTGATCGATTAATTACCTTTTCGCCCACGAAGGGCAGCGACCATGTGAAAACGTCCATGAAGTTGGGCAGCCAGTAGGGATGGGGTGAGCAATTAAACTGGCGGATGTTCATTACGTTGTTCTCGTACTTGAGCACAGCTGCCTTTTGTCAAATGTTTTCATTGGGTTGACAAACCAGCGCGAGCGTAGAAAGAGACGGGACGAGTGCCGGCGAAAGAGAGGGAAGAAAGGTATTACGAACGCAGCGCGATTTGAATTCGCACCAGCTCGCAATGCAGCCAAAAAAGATTTCGTTATTTAAAAATAGCAAAAGGAAAGAACAACAACAGCAAAATAAATAAACAACCCAGAAAGAGATGGAGAGATGCCAGGCAAATAGACGTGAGGGAGAGGGGGAGAAATATCATACCTTGTTGTTGTAAACATCCAGATAATTAGGGGCGGAGAAAATAGTAATCAGCGAGGGGAAGCCCGTAACTTGGTTCTTACGATACATGCGGTAACTGAAAAAAGATATCAGTTATGGGAAATAAATTATCGGATTAAAATTAAAGATCAAAAAGTATAAATCAACATAGAGAACAGAACTCTGAAATTTTTTAAATGTTTTGAATTTATAATTTATAGTTTATAAGGAATAGAAAGAATTAAACTTTAAAAAATATTTTTTAAATGAATCACCGATTAAAAAAGTGAATTTAAGATATTTTTTGAAATGTATGATACATTATTAATTATGATCTTACCCAGCATCTTGAGCCTCATGGGCCCTGACTATCGACAGGAGGTTGTTCTTCTGCAGGAACTCACAACAGGCCGAGTAGCTGAAGAAGTAGGAGCAGCCACGAACCGAGTTGTGGGAGAAAAACTCGTTGGTTTTTTCATTGCCAAAGTCCTCCAGAGGATCGGACCAGAGAAGATCGCACATGGGTCCATAAGCCGGTGGTTCCCTGAAGCGATTTAACTAAGAATACGCCCCCGACAGATGCAATATTTGGATTATATGTATATTGTAAACATTTCATCGCTGTTTTATTACCGTCTTGATGTCGTCGAGTGTGAAAATCTCAGGCGACAGACCACCGTGAATACAGAGGAACTGTTGATTCAGGAGGGCGGCGAGGGGCAGGCAGTCAAACGCCTCCATGCAGGCGTCGTAAATACTTTCCGAATACTTGATGATGCCTTCAACACAGTAATATCAATGAATTAACAATAGAAGGGAGATTTATGAGTTGCAGTCGCATTTAAAAGCGCATTAAATGCTTATGACAACAATCGTAAAGTAAGCTAGGTCGTTCCTTTTTGATTTTTTTCAACGGGAGTTTAATAGATTTTAATGAGCGTGTAAAATAGGGGAACATATGATTTAACCCGAATCGGGATTTTGTTTTCTTAGACAAATAAAACTTATTTATGGTAAGGAAAATTTTTAACACTATTTTAAGGGGGAAACAATTTGTACACAAATTTTAAAGTAGGTACTTAAAAAAATTCTGTGTTTTTAAAATAAAACTTACATTCCTGCTTGAAGGTAAAGTACTCTGTGAGGTGCCTGCACTCGTGATTTCCTCGCAGCAGGGAAAGTGTGGTGGGGTAGGTTATTTTCAGAGACCACAGATAAAGAACGCACTGAAAAGAGCGTATATTTTGTTAGTATATCTTTTATTATTTCCTCATTCTCATTCTTAGCCCACCTCTATACTGAAGTAACCCCTGTCCACGTAGTCGCCCAAAAAAAGGTACCTGGTGGTGGCCGGTGGACCACCCACCTCGAACAGCTTAACGAGATCGAAGAACTGACCGTGGATATCCCCGCACACGGTAATGGGTGCCTCCACGTCGATCATGTTCTTCTCCTCGCGCAACAGGGCGGCTCCTTCGGTGATGATCCTAAGGGCCACCGCCTCCTCGATTCGTCCTTCCAGCAGGAAGTGCTGACGCAGGGCGTCGAAGTTGGGCTTTCCGGTCTTGGGATCATCGTATACCTCTGACATGGTCAGTTTGTGGGCGGGTGGCAGGGGAACGTCTATTAAATATTAAATTATTTATAATTATTTATTAATAAAATCACTAAAATACTGGTGTACTTTTTTAAATAAAACGTTAGAAAAGTAATTTTGAAATCCCTTTTTAAAATGCCTAAAATAAGGCAGTAAAAACTACCGCGTTTAATAATGAATGACATATCATTCATATCAATTAAAAGCCAATATGATTTATGTCAAATTTATGATTCAAACATATCAACTTGATATTTTATCGTTTCATAAAACTAATAAAAATACTTTTTTCAAGATAGCAAATGTACTATTTTTTGAACAATTATTGTGAAATAAGATAACATAATCTTTATTGATCTCGAAATAATATAACTTGATCTTTAAAAATTTTAAATTGACCTGCACAAATCAATTTGATCTTTTGTCTATTTTTTCCCGTGGATGATTCTAAATTGTGTTCCCATATTTTTCCCGTGTAGGCTTGCATTGATAGAATTATAATAAACATTGCTGTCTGACGGCGATGTGGGTTAACGAGGTGCTGCAACTTAGCGCCAATATTCGGTTTGGCCGCTTTTCTTGGCCCGCCAATAAAGAAAACCGAAAATTCCGCCAGATGCAGCCACATGAGGTTCGTACGCTAATTACAAAATTTGACTGAGTGAATATAAAAGTCGAAAATTGATTGGCACACACGAAAACAAACAAACGTAATCACACACACACACACATAGCATAATATCAGGGCGAACGCCATTTTTAATTGTCATAATTTGGGTAAATGTCTGAAATTTTGACGCAATGGCCAATAAAATGCCAATGTGTTGCAGTTGTTGTTTGCTATGGGTGCTCAAAGATAATTAAATTTATTTTAATTGGCCCAATAAACCCAAGAACAAAACCGGGCACCGCCTTTTTATTTCGGTTTTAAGGGTTTTCGCCAACGGTGTCAACTAAATGATTAATTAAAACTACATTTTAATTTAATGGAGGAAGTAAAGAATTTATGAGTTATTAAAAATGGTTTTTCGGAATTTCTAAAGGCAACGAAGTCAAAAGTAATAAAAACATAAATATAGGGGTGATGCGAAATTAACTGGTTCCGAAATATAACATTAAGTTTAGTTTTTCTAAGAAAAATATTAGAAAAAATTTAAAAGTCATGTTTCAAAGAAATATAAATTTTATTATGCTCGCAATATTTTATTGCTTTTTAAACAAAAACGTAACGCTCGGTTTACTGCTCTTTAGGGAACTGCAACAATTCTCTTGTTTTGAGAACTACAAGCATGACTTCCTGATTTTAAAAACACTCATTTTCGAAACATTTTTCCCTGCCCCATAGAAAAGTTCAAAGCAAACAATTTGTGAAACCCTCAATTTTGACATTAATGACGGCGGTCAGAACATCAGAATGCCATTGAAGCATGATCGCATGTCATTAAAGATACAATCGCAGGAGGGACTCGTGTTTGGGTTAATGCTTGATTTAGATCCTAAGTTCTAAAACTTGTAAAGAGGGATCTTTACCATCGACCATGCGCTCCCTGGTTTTTGTGTACTGCATTTTCTGTTTGTTTCCACTGGCGGTTGTCGCGGTCTTTGAGGAATTCGCCGAGGACTTTGTGGATTTGTCGGTACTAGAACTTTTGGATAGCGACGATTTTCTCGTCACCGAACTTCGCGTAGACGCCGACATATTGTTGGATTATTTATTCGGCCTTTGTTTTTGTTTCTGCCTTCTTTTTTATTAATTTTTTATGTTCTGCTGGTGTGTTGATCTTGTTGTTTTTTTGCGATTCCTTAGCACGATATATATTTTTTAATGGCTTGACTTTTTGCTGGTGCTGAAAGTGTTACTAGCACAAGAATTTAGAAAATTATACGCCTTTGCCTGGGCGTCTTTATGGAGGACGGGACACAAAAACACACAAAATATACAAATATATTTAGGCAATAAATAAAACTTGTTGTTATATCTCTTGTATAGCTGTGGACTTTCTTGTATTTTTAGCCAGGCAATGCCAATATAGCGAGATAGAGACAAACTTTTCGCACTCGAAATAAATGTTGAACAATTAATATTTCAATTTGCTGCAATTATTCAAAGACGTATTAACTTTTCATTAAGTCATCACCGCACATTGTTTAACGGATGCTTTTTGGCAAAGGGTATGGCTATGGTATTATAGCAGCACTTTAATTGAGACGGAAAATTGCTCGACACTTTGTACTAATTAGCCACAACAGAAATGGCGAAAATAGCAACGGATTTACAAATAGACGGGTCGACAGGCACACATATATCACTTTGGTCACACTTTGTTTGCTATCTATGTCTATTATTATTGTTATAATAATCCTTTAGTCTCGATTATTTTTCACGGGACACGACGCAACGCATTTCCCAAGTTGGCGCGACGCGATTTTCCTCGAAACTGAGCAAATTTCGGTTGGCATCGCGTTTGGCATTCAAAAGACCCAATTTGAAAGCCCGAAGAAGATCGGCTGAGATCGGCGGATCTCACGCCCTTGACTCCCACTCTCCGATGAAAATATAACCAACAAATATAAATATACCCCGCTCTCTTAGGGTTCCATCTATTTATTTATTTTATTGGGTTAATGTGACACACGCACTTCGGGATCTCTAGTTTTTTTTTTTAGAACTGCCCTTCTGCGATCGTCGATTCGACGACCTTCATAGACATTTACACATCTGCGATATGTCCACCCCCAATCCCCCGATGATTCCCCATTCCGTATCCACATCCGCTCTCAATGATTTTCAACTTGACCGTGATATTGATTGTGTGTGCGTGCGCTGTGCGTCTGTGTGTGTGTGTGCTTGCCAGAAATTGGGCGCCAATAGGTGGGTGTCGCTATAATTATAGTCTTGACTTTGTGCGCGCCTCGTGCAAAAATATATGCGTTCTACAATAAAACGGGTGTATAGGGGTGAGGATTAAAGTTAAATTAAATTTTAACTACAAATTAAAAAATTACTCAAAAGTTAATTTTGCTTAATTTACTTAATTTTATAAATTTTTAACTATAGTCTATAACTTAAATGAAGAAAATTTTAGAATTTTGCGGAATTACCAATATTTTACAATTTATTTGTAAAAACAAATCAATATTCCTAAAATTCTATAAAAAGATATAAAACTTCTAAAAGAATATAGAATATTAAAAAAATGTCCGAAGTAAGTAAGAGTATTTAAAAAATGAAAGAGGGGCTTTAAAATTTTTCTTCTTTAGTGGGTTATGGAACGAATATTCCTACATACATTAAATGTTTTCGTAATGGATAAATGCAAAAAGTTTGGAATCTTCAGATATTGCCTTTTTTTTGCATTTTATTTTATTTAATTAATTTAATTAGTAAAATTCCAAAGAGCATACAAATTCCTTTAACTAATTTAATAGTATATAAACCTTTTATAATTAAAATTAATTCAAAGATTAAAATTTTTTAAACTATATTATTTACATATATAAGAAATTTTAGAACTTTATCATTTTATTGAAAATTCTGAATAAATTGTAGGTAGAGTATTCATAGATCTCCTACCCATTTAATTCTTTCGCTAGTGGAACCAATTTCATGCAACTTTTATGCGAAGCGTGGCAATATTTTAACAACAATCTGTGTGGATGGGATGGCCACATAAAAAACACACTCACAAACATTATCACCGAATGTGTGTGCGTTTGTCTCTCGTCAATGTTGTTTGTCGCGATGGTCAATTGATATGTATGGTTTGGCTGGTGAAACGCTATATCGCTCGCCAGATAGTTCCATAATATATGCTGGGAAGGATGCTGTGTGGCCCGATTTTGGGGACACTCGGAATGGGAATCGGAATCGGAATCCATTGCAATGCCAATGCACTCGCAGCAAAGCAAAATGCGCATCGATGGCACTTGGATTTTCGATTTGGCAAAGAGCAGAGACGATTTTACTTTGACGCCCCCGCGAATCCGAAAATCGCCGAAAATCGAGAGACAAAAGCGAGTCACACGACCGCCGCAGACTAGAAAGAAATACTTTCCGGTGCTAACCAGTGGGTGGGATTTTGTTGGGGATTGTCAGGGGGGATTTTTGGGGGTCTTAAGGGGTCTGTAAGTGGTTGCGAAAAAGGGGAGTATGGCGATGGGGAGGGCAAAGCGATGAGAGCATTGCATTCTCGTCGTGAAATTTTGGCAAACGCGCTGACAGCTCGACCCAGTCCAGCCCCCCTGTCCTTCTTGGGGTATCCAATGATTATACTAGGTACCCCCAGAAGGTGTATTAAACTCTCGGAGGTGTGGATAGACAAGAAATATGTACTAAACACCCGCAAGACATATACTTAAGTGATTGAAAATTTAATTTTATTTAGAGGTTTTACTGAAATCAGAAATTTTCAAATCGCTTACTAAGGTACCAAAAAGTATGCAATATATCTTTAAGTCCATCCATTTATTTTAAAATAAATAAAAAAATTATACGAAAAACTTTTACAAAATATATAGTTAGGTGATGGAATATTGATTTTTTTTTAGAGGATTCACAGAAATGAGAAATTTTTATATCACTTATTAAAGTTCCAATAAGTATGCAATAAAAAAGTCTTATTTTTAGACACATTTGATAGTGAATTGCTAACACAAGTGTTTTATGTGGACAGTAAATTTATTGGTTATCTTTATAATTTGTTATAAATGTTAATTAAAACTGGATACATACAAAAATAAAACCCTATTACCGGGTATCCCCTAATTGAATAATTTGTCCCACTTTCCTATTTAAATATATACAAGCCAATATGTGGCTATTAAAATAAGCCGAAAATATCGTTGGCAGCATATTTTAAGCGCAATTAAGAGGCGAGGCAGAGGCATCTGCGGTCAGCTGGCCGAGATTAAGTGGACGACACTCGCAATTGATTCACCTCTAAATTATCTAAATTAAAGACTAGCAAATCGTCACGGCTAAACCAGAGCAATTGGTTTCTATACTGTGTGTTTGTGTGGCAAATGCCTAAAGATTTGCTGAATAATTTGCCAGTCAAGTTGAGTCAAGTTGTTCGCATTTCACAGGCATTTCAGCGACTGACACTTTGAACACCCGTTTCGTCATGTCGGCATGTCACAAAGTCTTCGCTCTGATATACATTTTTCTTTTTTAGAAATAGCAAATAGCAAAGTGCCGAAAGTATTTTTAAAACAATGTTTTTTATGCTCGCACGCAGCCGAAAACCCAAATTGCTCGCTTCCTCTCTTTTTTTGCACATAAACAAAACGCCACTGAAATAAAAAGATAATATTGACACGTAACGCAAACATTTCATTCATTGTTTGAACATTTTTTTTTGGCAATCCCCGTTGTTGTTGTTTAGTTTTTGGTGCTGTATAAACAATTCATTTGAATTATGTGACCACAGGCATGGGCTTATGTGTGAATGATGCCCGATTTGCCGGTTATTCAGTGGGCAAAAAAAGGAAATATTTAGACAGTCACTTCCCTTCGGGCATAACTAAATTGAAATTAATTATTTGCGTTGATTTTTAAACAAATAAATTGGAAAGCTGGGGCTCTACGAAAAGCTCAGCAAGTTCAAAAACCCAAAAAGAAAAAGCTTTTCAAACTAAACAGCTCAGCAAAAATGTTCTCAAACAAATGGTTTTCCCCCTTCCGGAAAAACTCCTCATGTCTGCGGCTGCCATTTTACAAATTGATAAACTTTTCAGTTATCATTGTTTATGTATCTTTCTGGCCGTAGCCTTCATTCCCTCTTAACCTTTTGACGCTTTTCTTAGCCCTTTTTCCTGCTCCTCATCATTGTTTTCTCTGCCGACTGCCAAACATTTGCCGAGCCAAAAGTTTTTTCTGCTCACATTTGTTTGCTTGGGATTTGCCAAAAACAGAAGAGCCCCCAAAAAACAAGAGGAAAAAAATCGAGAGCCAAAAACTTCAAATATAAAAAGGCAGCACAAATTTTTATTGAATTGATTTATTGACTTACTTATTTGGGCGCTCAACGCTCATAGATAAAACCTTTTTCTCAATTTTCTTTGTTTTCTTGCTGTCAGTTGGCAGCAATAACAAGGGCCCAAAATAAATATTTAGTTTTCATTTATACAATTTTCCCCAGCCTTGCTTTTGGCCTCTTTGTTCGGGGCCAATTTGTGTGTTTAACTTTATCGGGGGGTTAATGCAAGTCTATAAAAATCTTGTTAATTGAAAAGTAACCAAGTGGGATTTTCTGTGGGATTTTCTTGGACCCTTCTATTATTTTATTGCAATGATACTATTAAATAAAGAATAATAACTTCTGTAATATGTTGAAAATTATATTTGTTCAAGAGAAAATTAAATAATAATAGATAGGATAAGAATGCTTGAAATAGGAATTTTATTTTTTAATTTACGAAAGAGTTAAGTAAATTTTGGCCATTAACACTCGAAGATCAGAGTATATCCAGTAAAAATCAATCCGGTAATCTCCTTCGGGGAAAGGTAGAACTGCTGTCAATCTTTGATTGATGAAATCGGTGGGAAGCTTTTCCAGGATCAAATCGTGCTTTAAATAGTTTTGTAATTAAACAAAATAATTTGTTAATTTCACACGCTTTATTTTACTTACATTGTATGGGCACGAATGGTTCATGTTGGTGTACATTGAATACGATTCAAAAACAAATTTTGCTACTGGATTAGCTTTTGGATTTTTTAAAAATTTACATACATCTATTGTTATATTATACATAAAGGGTTTATATCCATTGTATCGCTTCCAAATTGAGAAATTTATCTGTTATACATGACGAAAAATAAAACTGAATTTATGGCCACTATATTTACTTACTACAGCCTTGGAAATGGGAAGTTGATAGAACTTTAACTTCATTGAAGTAAATTTATAGCTGCGATTGACCGACTTTAGAAAGCAGTACTCAAAGTCACAAAGTGTTTTATTGAATGATGAACAAACCACGTTCGTAAATTCTACACGGGATTCAATCTTAAAAACATTTTTAAAATAATTAAATATTTTTTTTACCAAGAAGTTGTTAAACTTACTTCCTGGCCAGATTGGATTGCTAAAATAAACAGAATGAACAAAATACAATTGGTAAACATGTTGTGACAGTGATTCACTAGATACAACTAATGGATTATTAGTCAATGGAAACCAAACCAGACATTCGATAAACAAAAACAATTTAAAATAGGTTAACGTTGGTAATTATTTTTTAATCACTTTGCATTTGATTGATTTTCATTTTTATGAAATATTACAATAAACTTTTATCACAGCTATAAACGATTTGAAATAAAACCAACGAAATTCAAATAGGTAATCTCCCTCGGGGATGGGAAGAATTTGTGTCACTCGGTAATTCAAAAACGCAATGGGAAGTTTATCCAGAATTAAATCGTTCTAATTAAAACAAGCTGTAATTATCAAATAAACAAGAAAGGAAGCTACCTTCGGCCAGCCGAAGCTTATATACCCTTGTAGATAAAAGAATACTCACTCGGTGCAGTTCCAGGGATTCCAGATTCAGCGTTTCGATTTATTTCAATTTTGTTTTTAAGTAGTCAAGAATCAAAACGCCTACTTCCTACAAAGTTACAATGAATTTTCTTATATTTGTTTGGGAGCCTTAAGATATAGTGGTCCGATCCGGCTGGCTCCGACATATGTACTACCTGCAATAGAAAGAAGACCTTCGGGAAAGTTTCATCGCGATAGCTTTAAAACTGAGAGACTAGTTCGCATAGAAACGGACAGACAGACAGACGGACAGACGGACAGACGGACAGACGGACAGACGGACATGGCTAGATAGACTCGGCTATTGGTGCTGATCAAGAATATATATACTTTATGTGGTCGGAAACGTCTCCTTCACTGCGTTGCAAACATCTGACTGAAATTATAATACCCTCTACAAGGGTATAAAAAGAAACGAACTATACTCACTCTGTAGGGACATGAATGGTTGATATTAGAAAAATCGTTGAATGATTCAAAAAGGTATTTCATAACTGGGTTCGACTTTGGATTTCTAAGAAATTTGCAGGCATCCGTTGTTATATTGTACAGGAATGGCTTGTATCCGTTTAAACGTTTCCACATTATAAAATGTACCTTTCATTATTTGAAATTTGATATTATTACGTGACTTCAGTTAATCAGATTTCTTGATTACCTTTATGTTATCAAACGGTATTTTATGCAACTTATATTTTCCGGAAATATATTTGTAGCTGCGATTTATCGACTTAAGATAGCAATACTCAAATTCTCCAATTTGCTTGTCAAAAGATGTGCAATTAAAGTTTGTAAATTCAAATCGGGAGGTAATCTTGCATCGAAATTATTATGATGAATTTTTTTACAAATAAATTTTGAATATAGTACATACATTTACCACTGAATAAAATATAAAAATAATCAAAATTATAAAAATTTCCTTTGCGGTCATCTTGCACATCGGATGAAAAACTCAATACTAAGTTTATTTATTGAAAGCGAACCCTAAATGCCAAAGTTACTAATGACGAAATATAAATTAGCAGTAGCAAAAAAAAATGTTGAAATAATTTGATCAACTTGATTAAAAAACCATTAAAAGGGGAATATTTTAAAATTATTTAATTTTTATCTCCTTAAAATCTGTTGATAATAAAAATGGCTTAATTTAAATTTATTTATTTAAATTCGTAAATTCACTTAAAAAATACTAGCAATATTTCTTATTTATGAAAGTGTCCAGAAAACCTCTGCCAAAGCAGTACGAGTTTTACCAATCAGCCAGTACAATCTGACTAGGTAATCGCCTTCTGGAAACGGAAGAACTGCAGTAAATCTGTGATTAAGAATATCAATTGGAAGCTTTTCCAGAATAATGTCATGCTTTCAATAGATAGATAACAGATATTATTAATATTAAAAGGTTCATATATTCGTACCTACATTTAGGGGACATGAGTGGTTAATATTTGAGTAGTTCGAGTGGGATTCGTGGACAAAATTTATTACAGGATTTGATTTATGATTTTTCAGGAATGCACAGACATCAATTGTTATATTATACATAAATGGCTTGTAGCCATTGAACCGTTTCCACAATGCCACATTCACCTTTAATAAAATAGAAAAAATATAAACTATTTTCTCATCGTTTTAGACTTAAATTTACCCTAAGTTTAGTTATCGGGAGTTGGTGGAGTTTAAATTTTCCGGATATATATTTGTATGTACGGTTTACCGATTTCAGATAGCAATACTCGAATTCTCCAAATTGTTTATCAAAAGTCTTGCAAATAAAATTCGTAAACTCGAATCTTGATTCAGTCTATATAATAAAACACAATAAATAAATGTTGAATTAAATTAATTTTTCGTATTGAAAATACCTGAGTGACTAGGTTAATTAATAGAAGAATTATAATAAGAAACGATAGCTTAATATACATCTTGAATCCTCAGGTGTTTAACGAGTACTGAAAACTCTAGGCCAAAACTGTATTGGATAGTCAGTACAGCGTGACCATAAATACTACGCAATTAAACATACATTAAATAGTATTTAAAAATACGTACATTTAAGATATTTTGTTTTAAAAAATGCTGATAAAGGTTTGCATATAGAAAAAGAATGTCTACTCTAAAGTACTCTAAATAATTCATACATTTTAGTGATAAACATTTATTTGTTTTATTATTTACAAATCAACAGTAGCCATTTATGAAAGAGTTCCATAAACCTCGGCCATGGCGGTACGACTTTTACCAATCAGCCAGTACATTCTAAAAAGATAATTGCCCTCTGGAAAAGGAAGAACAGTAGTAAATCGGTAATCAACAATGTCGATCGGAAGCTTTTCCAGTATAACACCGTGCTTAAAATAGATAATCAAAACAATAATTTAGGAAATATAATGTGGAAAATATAACTTAAGAAAATACTTACTTTTAGCGGACAGCGGTCTATATTTGAGTAATTAGCAAATGTGTCGTAAAGAAATTTTACTACGGGATTGGAATTATGATTGTTCAGGAATAAACAAACATCAAAAGTTACATTGTACATAAATGGTTTGTAGCCATTAAATCGCTTCCACAGTCCTATATTCACCTTTATTGAAATAGAAGAAACTAAATAATATTTTCATATCACATGTAAAATCTTACCTTAAGTTGTTTTATAGGAAGTTTCTTTGGTCTATATTTTCCAGAAAGATACTTGTAGGTACGGTTTATTGATTTAAGGTAGCAATAGTCGAATTCACCAAAATTTTTATCAATAGCCTCGCAGATAAAATTTGTAAACTCAAATCGGGATTCAATCTACATTTTACAACATCAAAATAAAAAAAAATATTAAATTTTTCATTATTACCGTTACAATTATACCTGCATGGCTAAATTCATTAAAACCATAAATAAAAGAAGAAAAATAAACTTAATATACATCCTAAAACTTCAGGTACAAAACTAATACTGAAATCGACATGCCAAAATTGGTATATATATTCATGATTGTGTGAAAATAAACTTAAACAATTAAAAACGAATTAAGTACACAGAGAAAACTAGCTGAACACTTTAAAAAAGTTAAAAACCTTCATACAGATTTTTTTAAAGTAAAAAAGCTTAAAAGCTTATTAAAAAGTATTATTTTTTTATGTCGCATTTTTTGGCTTTATTTTTTTCTGTGCAGAAATTTATAAAATATTGTTTAGAGTAATTTATTACAAAAAAAACAGTTTTCGATTTTAGAGAACTTATATATATACAAGTTCTATAGAACCTCATTTCTAAATATACTTTTTAAGACTTTTTAAAAATATTTAAAAAATTTGTATTAATGCTCACCATATTGGTTTATTAAATATTTGTAATCTAGGTATTGTACAGAAAAAATTAGGATCCATTTAGGCAGTTTAAGATTTTAGGTAAAACTCGCTAGCCTCTCCACCAATCGTATCTCTCGTTTTGGCAGCCCATTGACCACTTTTTGGGGCCCCGGGTCAATGTCTACGATTGGAGATCCCTCGTTATGCTCATCACGTGGGGCGCATTAATTTGCACACATGATAACCCATCGGCAAACCCATCGATTCAGCCCCCGAAATTCGTGTGGGTAATGCAGCTTGCCGCTAGATTTACTTTATATGAGCTGCAAATTGGTTGCTCACGTAAATGATTTTCATTTTCCAATCATAACATTACGCGTGCCTGCACTGCCAATACTCACCTGCCGGGGAAAATATATCTGGCATCTTGAAATCCGGCGAGTTGAGGGAATCCGTAAACATTTGGCTGCCGCTGATTACAATGCGGTGAATTGAATTAACATATTGGCCGGCGGGCGAGAGGAATTACGGAAGCTCGTAGCTGGAAGCTCTGGATATGGCTTAAACTGTCTACAAATAATTTTCCGAGTGGGTGGCGAACGGGCGACATTGCCATTATTTATGGCCCCCAAACGCGACTTGTTTGCCTTTTGTTAATGACGAGGCGAAAGTATAAAGCACAAAGTGCCGACAATTGGCAGCAGCTGAAACAGGAGCAGGATTTTCAAGGATCCAGAGCTGTGAAGCTCGCAAAAAAGTTAATTAAAAGTGCAATCAAGCAGCAGCCCGGACCGCAGAAAGAAAGAGAGGGGTGAAGAGCCATAGAAAGAGAGGGGGCGATAGGGCATCAGGTCCTGAACGATGCTGACATTTTGCCTGCAACGGAGACGACAAAAATAGATGAAGGCAAGGAAAGCAATTTCGACACCGCAAAAATATATATTAATTTATAGATCGATTTTAATTTAGGTTTATAGTTATATTTTTAAACCGAAAAACTAAATAATTCATTTCGAATTACTGCGGTTGTTTTTCATTGCATACTATTTTGGCTTTTAAAAAGGCAATACTTTTTCACTGCATACTTTTAGGCACCGTTTAAAATGATTTAAAATCTCAAATAATTTGTTTATTTTTTATTAAACTACATACTTTACGGCTAAAAGACAATATTTGCACAAATAAAACTAATTTTATATCGTAAACATAAATATTCATAAAAATAATTAAATATTTATAAAACAAAAAAATCTTAAAATGCTAAAAATATTTAATAAAAATATCCGATTTTATAAGAATTATACAAGTTTAACTCACAGATACACAGAAAAGGTATACTTTTCTTTCAGTGGAACACATCATGGTTCATGGGGTCATGTGTAGCATGTTGTATATAAGTCCCATCTCAAATACGAGCACGTCTAAGTGGGGCGGGAGTATAAGGGGCATGGTTTGAGGGCTGCTGCCTACCTGGCGCATCGCACAAATTGCTGCAATTATAGACGCCATAAATTATAACAACTTAAAGCTTAGGTAAACGAGGAAAAAGCCAGAAAATAGATAAAATGATAAGAGGCGCAAAGGAGCGGAAGCGGAAGCGAGAATGAGATGAGACTTTGGAAAATGCATTTAATTGATTTCACTGCTCGTCCTTGGCTTTTCTTGACAGGCAATATAATTTTTATTGCTTCTCATTTCCCGCGAACATTTTCTTTTTTCACCACTATTTTTTCAGGTGCCAAAGTTCCGCTGATTATGATTTATGGTATGAAACTGTTGATGATAAAAATAAATTTATGAGTCATGGAGCTTTGAAAGATTAATTTATTAGTTTTCTTATGATTTTGATGATTATAAATAGTTCAAGATGTTAGTAAATGCATAGAAATAAAGATAAGGATTCCATTGCAATTAATGATAATACTAAATATTTAAACAGAAAATACATTTTGTATTTTAGATGTGAGTAAAGACAACTGAAAATTAAATTGTATTACACAAATCAGTTTAGCTTCAATTAAATGTGTCTGAAACTTAATAGCCACTCGGTTGGGGAATTCTTGTGGTCTTTGAACTGTCAACACATCAATTAATTTACCATTAGGACCCCTTTCATTGTTGGTCTCGTGAATGCCTTTGAGTGGCCAAGCCGATGACTGCGGTTGTCATAATTACCAGTCCCATCGCTCAAGTTCAACTGCTTTATTTATAGGACAAATAAACTTGTGGCTTTAGCCGAGATCCTTGGTCCTTGGCACTTAAAGTTCCCTTAAATACATATATCGAGAAATTACAAACTTTGACCTTGTTTAAGAGCGAGTGGTTTTCAACATTTTGATTCAATTTCCCGCTGAGCCTTGCTTGCGGGCGGCCAATTAAAAATAATTTAATAGCGCGCTGTAATAATTCCGTTTCCACTTCTTGGCTCCGACAAATTTAATACCCATTCCTCTTGGGTTTTCCTGTTGGCGTGTCTCGCGTCTGCTATTAGTTTGCAAATCATATTTATTTATTAATTCTAATTGCATTTGGACAGGTGGAGGGGCGAATGAATCGCCGGCAGCTGTAATTTGTCTAACAAACGTTATTGCATCTTACAGTCAAGGAAGTGTAGGGGCCTTTCCTTAGTTGCTCTTTCCGAGGAACCATACATTTTATTACTTTAATAAAATATTTACACTTAATAAAATGAAATACCTATAAATAAAATCTATAAATTGGAAGCAACATTAATTTGTTGCATACTTATCGACACCTATTTAAAATGTTATATTTAATACTTCGAGTTGAATTTTTGTAGTCAGGACTGAACAAATATTGATTTAATTTCGAAAAAGCTATTTCGCCAGGACCTTTTCTTCGGGGCAATTTGAAACCAAGCAATGAGTATTCATTTATCCACAACAGTCAGTTTTGTGCCTCTATAAGAATCAGGTTTTGGGTGAGGGCATACGAGACTCCTGGCATTTCAATTACAAATTTAGCTTGCTTTTCCAATTCCATTTTCCTCCCTGACCTCCTCAGTTTTCCGAATAGATATTTCTGTGTTTTGGGCTTGTATGCCGTACAATCCTGCAACAGCTGCAGATGAAAATTGCAAATGAAACTTAGCTGTGCTCAGCTGAAGTAAGCTGAAGTGGAATGAAGAGAGGAAGAAGAGTCCTGTGAAGTCCTGGAAAGTCCTGTGAACTGAAGTGGGCGTAAGCAGGACTTGCAAGTGCCTCTGAGCTGGCTTGAGATCCTCCGGTCGATGCACAAATCAACGTTAAGTGCATGTAACTCACACAGACACTCACACAGACACATGGGCCAAAGGATGGTGTCAAAGTTGCATGTTATTGCATCAACATTATTTCCTCCTCTCCGAACGCGCACTGGTGTGCGTGGGAGTTCGCCATAAAGTACACGCGTATGGGTGCATGTTTACAATTTGAATTAGGGTGAAACATAACACATGTACAAGCGGCAATTAGAACACATAACTCTCACTAACTTTAATGGTCGGTATTGCAAAGCAATTAGATCCGACCATTGTCTTTAATTAAAAGCCATTCCTTAGTTTACTGCATTGGGTAAAAGAAATACAAAATGACGGATTTTCTTTAAACTTCTTTAAA